CCCGGCGTAGGGCTCCTCGGCTCGGGGCCACGGACGGCGCGGCGGGCGGCCATGGCGGCTTCTCCGAGCGCGGCTAGGGCGTGCGGGCGCCCGCTCGCCGGAGCTCTCGGGCACGACCTCGCCGGAGCAGCCATGGCAGAAATATCTGGGGCCAGGAGGGAGGGCCAGATCCGGCCGGGAGAGGGAGCGCCGGGGAAGAAGAAGGGGAGGGAGCGCCGGGGAAGAAGAAGGGGAGGGGAGGGGTGCCGGCGGCAGGGAGGGGCGGGGTGCTCGGGGCACTGGGGCGGGGTGCTCGAGAGTGGAGGGGTCGGCGAGGCGTTCGGTTGGAGAAGGCGAAGTTTTGGGTTGCGACCTTTTCCCTGTGCAGGACCCAAATCAAGGAATAGGTCTTGTATTTACGTCCTCATCGTTGGAGTCAGTCTAAGGAACCGACACCTCCCGTTCCTCGATCAGAGATCCATCTCTACCACCTCCTTCCTCACCGAGCCACTCATTTGCTCATTGGCCCCCTGAGCGTTTTGGGATGACTAACAGGAGCAATACTGAAATCTAGATGTTCATATGCTTAATCGAGCAATTGCCTTTGTATGGAAGGGATTACAATTTAACACCAATGACATATATGAGAATCATGCTTTTGTGGCAAATAAGGGATTTAGGTCTATTCCAATGACATTGTAAGGAAATTTTGTTTCCCAATTATTGAAACCAGCCCACATGGGGGTGGGGGTGGGGGTGGGGGGGATGGACTCCCGGTCGATTCACGCTTATTTGCAACGTGCCAGTATGCAATGCAGGCGCGTACGAGATGAAAAAACAACACAAAAAAAGGGTTCTAGATCGAAATCTAGGCCCTGTTTGCGTACCCTTAAATCCGGCTTTGATCCGCTTCTTTTTTCATCCGGAATAGTGTTTTTCTTTCACAGATTCCTCCAGAATTCCTCCAAACCATCCAAATTCTTCTAGAACCATACCCTCCGAACATGGCCCTACACAGATGAGTGGGAGAGGTAGGTCTTCATGTCGGACGCGGAAAAGCCATTGAAGTTACAGCTCAGCACGGTGGTGTAGGCGGCGACCTCGTGGAACACGAGCCAGTCCCCGATGCGTAGCTCAGGCAGATGGTAACCCTTCACCACCACGTCCAACGAGTCGCACGTGGGACCGAACACCGTCGATGGGTGTGTCTCATCACTCTCACCGCCTTCGTCGTCGTCGCCGGCGGCAGCGCGACTCTACACTGGCACAGGGCGTGGCACGTAGTTCTCGACGTGGACGCAGCACAGCGTGCCGAAGAAGCCGTCGTCGATCTAGTACTCGCGCACCTCGCCGCGCGGGCGCTTCCCGAAGACGCGCGCGGCGAGCGTGAACGGCGTCTCGGCGAAATAGCGCCCTGGCTCGCCAATCACCTGGAGGCCGGGGACGTCCCCAAAGTGGCGCGTCAGCGCGGAGTTTATCACGTCGCACACGTCCTGGAACGTGGAGGCGGTGCCAGCCGTTAAGCCCCCGCCGATGTCCAGGATGCGCATGGGTGGCATGCCGCGCGCGGCGGCGGCGTCGAACACCGCGCGGCCGCCTCCACGGCAGCGTCGTAGACGCCCACGCGGGACACGGCGCTCCCGACGTGGAACGCGACGCCCGAGACCGACAGGCCCGCGCTCTGCGCGGCGCACAGGAGCGGCGCCACCTCCTCCTGCCGCGCGCCGTACTTGGTGCCCAGGTCCAATAGGGCGTCTCCGGCGTCGGGGACCTTGAGCCGGAGCAGAAGCTTGCACCTGGGGTGGAAGAGCCTTAGCTTGTCCACCTCCTCCACCGAGTCGAAGGTGGTGAGGTTAACGCCGACGCTCGCGGCGTGCTCGATGTGTGCCTCGGGCTTGCATGGGTTCGCGTAGATGATGCGGTCAGCGGTGACGCCTAGTGCGAGCACGGCATCCATCTCGGCAGGGCTGGCGCAGTCGAAGCCCGCGCCGAGAGCGGCCAGGGCTCCGAGCAGCGCCGGGTTGGTGTTGCACTTGACGGCGTAGTACGGCGGCACACCCTTGAGCCCACGCCGCCACGCCGCGAACAGCTCGACCACCTTGCCGAGGTTTAGCACGCTGAACGCGCTCGTCACTGGGGGATCTGCCGTGACAACAATGCGGCGGATAAGACCAGTGACGGCGTCCTTCTCGTTAGTAGCGTCGTCGCACGGGAGGCGGAGCACCTCCAGGCCCTTAACGCCGGGCGCCTCAAGCACAGCTCGCATGGCTGCTGCTTCAGCCATGGACTGTGTACTGAGGTGAGGTCTACGCGCGCACGAGATAGGGGGCAGACCTCCTGTTGGTTCAGGTCCTTAAAGAAAGGCAGCGTGTGTGATGTTGCCATTGTATTGTACTCCTCCTATATATCTATCTATATAGTATGTATTATATACACATACATACATATATTAATAATTAATATTAAAATCTATAACCGCGGGAGAATCCGTGGCCTCCGAGCGACCAGCGTCTCTGCTGCATGACGGCCTCTTTATTGGTCACGTGGCCCTCTCGCGCTGCTGTCAGCCAATCACAAAAACTCTGGCTGTTCTCTGTTTAGTGTATAAATAAATACTGCAAAACTGTCCCTACAAAAGCATCTCCAAGAGACTTTTTATATCTTTTCTAATTTACAGTAATAGAGATTTCAGTAAAAAAAATACCTCTAACAGTCTCTTCAGTTGAATATCTAAATATAGACATCTTCTACTCCGGATTTGTTGCTAGCCAAAGATGGACAATGAAGATGATTCTCTATACTACACACAAGATATAGAAAAACGGTTGAAGTGCACAGAGATATAGAAAACAGTTATTACTCAAGGCTCTTGGAGATGCTCAGAGTTACTTTGTCTTTAGGGTATATAATAAATAAATATTTACATAGGTGCAAAACTATCCATATGAGTTACTTCTTTAGCTCAAACTGCTCCAACATTTTAGCTAACTAAAATTTCTAACAAAGAGACCCAAGGAAAATAATAAAATATTATTTCATTTTAGCTACTCCTTCCATCCCATAAAGAATATCATTCTCACTTTCCAAAACTAAAATATTTTTAACTTTAATCAAATACATACAAAGACTATTAATATTTATTGTGCATAATAAATATCTTTAGATTAATAGTTGAAATATTTTTATAATCAGCTTATTTGGAGATACAAATATTGCTAATACTTTTCTAAAAAATCTTACTCCATCTGTCATAAAATAGATGACCTTATAGCATTCATTTTTTTTCCAAAATACTTGTGACTTTCTTAGTTCCCGATACACCTTCTCTCTTTTCTCAATACATCTCTCTCTCTACCCTCTACTCTTTGAGGGGCATTATGGTCTTTTTGTCTTCGGTGTTGGTTTTGGAGAGAGATTATAAAACGTCAACTAATATGGGATGAATGGAGTAAGAAAATTTGATCTGCACAAAACCCTAGGCAACTCTCTTTTTAGGATGGAGGGAGTACCATGCATGACAACATCTACCAGCCAAGTGATCTTCTGGCTTTTATTCTTTTTTTATTCTATGTACCGGCTGCTCAAATAAGCTAAAAGTTTTTACAAATGGTAACATAGCATCGTTGGTCCAATGCATTGCACCTATTCTTCTTTACTCTCTCTCTCACCTCCTTTCATCACATGCTAGAGATGCTAAGCTTTCCTAGCCTATTTTTTCAACCAAAACAACAATGAAAACACGCGCAAGGCTAAAACAAGTGCAACGAAGGGCGCTTATCTCTATCTAGTATATATAAAGAACAACTACTCTAAAGCTGGCTATAGAATATCTTATTTATTATATCATACCTTCTAGATTTTAGTCACCTGAAATCTAGAGGGATTTTAGGCAACAATGACGTGCCTACGCCCGTGCCCCACTCACCCGCGCTCGTCTTCCTTCTCTCCGGCGTGACTTCCTCCTCCCTGCGCACGTCTTTCTTCTCTCCAGCGGCGGCGCATTTTCCTTCTCCCCAACTCCGGCGACCTTAGAAAAAGAAGGGGCCCAAGGGAGGCAGGCCGGCTCGGCGGTGGAGATGGCGGGAGGGCGGTTTAAGGTTCTGGCGGCGGAGGAGGCGGCTGGGCTAGGTCGGGGCATAAGCGAGGATGACCATGACGGTGACGGGATGGGGGAGGGGTAGAAGGAGACTGCCGCGGACGCATAGAGTCTCGCCGGAGCTTCACACGTAGCATTCAACGCGCCACTGGAGGGCCGCCTTTCTTTGGCGAGAAAAGAAAATCTGTGTGTACAACAATAAATTACTCCTCTGCATGCATGCGAATGGCTATCGCACTAAATTCCTGAAACTCAACGCAAACAGTCCTAATTAATGGCACCCCATGATAATAATAATTATTCCGATGCCTGATCTTCAGCTGTTGATGAATTTGATGTGGCCCTCTTTAGTGCTTACTACTAGTGTATTGAGAGTTGCTGAGCCAGTTCCTCCGCGGTCCATTTGCCAGTGAGCCAGCTGCACAGCAGTCGACTGCAGAGAGGCGATGACCTATCTGACTCACACGCTGCTCGTTCACTGGTGCTTTTAGCATCCAGATGAGATCTAGATGTGTCAAATGATAAATTGGCACACTATTTGTTCATGCGGGTAATCAAATCCAGTTGACAAATCGACAGGTCTCTTCTCTCCCTTTGCTCTGCACTGCAAATGGACGGAGTACTATCTAATCTCCAGCTTTTGCGTGGAGGAAGTAAAGGACGCCTTGTTCCAGATTCTTACGGCAACGTTACCAAACCCACAGGTGAAAGCAGCATGCTTCAACCGCAGATATACCAAGCCGCCTCCCTTCGTCTCCGATCACCTCCATACGGAGCAGCATCTTTCTTCTCCATCCACGGCAAGCTTGGCAACCGGACAGAGACAGTGCACAGTATAAGTAACTTGGCCGCGGCCACGTACAACACAAGCAAAGCTCTGCAGCTCTCCACATCAAACAGACCAGTACCAGCACCAGCCGCGGCAATGGCGTCCACGACGGCAGCTACAGACGCGAAGCCGGCACCGGCCGCTGGCGGTCCGCAGCTGAAGCTGCTGGTGGACCGGCGTTCGAGGCGCGTGCTGTACGCGGAGGCCCGCAAGGACGCGGTGGACTTCCTGATCGGCCTGCTGCGCGTGCCCGCGGGCCTCGCGGCGCGCGAGCTGGCCAAGCACGGCGAGCCCGCGCCGGGCTCCCTGGGCTCGCTCTACGCGGGCGCGCTGGCGCTGGACGACGAGTTCTTCGCCTCCGGCAGCTCGCCCAACCGCGACGCGCTGCTCAGCCCCGCGGCGCTGCCCTCCGCCGCGCTCCCGCTGCTGCTCGGCGGCGCCGAGGGCGCGGTCTCGTCGCCGCTGGCGCCTCCTCCCACGCCGCAGCGGTACTTCCGGTGCAGCGCGTACATGAACCCGTGCCGCGGGAACCCGACGAACGTGACGGACGTGTCGGGCCTGCCGTGCCCCGCGTGCCGGCAGCCGATGACCGTGGAGATGCGGCTGGCGCCCGGGGACGCGCAAGGCAAGCTGGCGCTTGCGCAGGCGCAGGAGGCCGCGGGGCTCGGCGCCGGCGGGTACGTGAGGGAGGTGGTGACATACCTGGTGATGGATGACCTTACCGTGGGGCCCATGTCCACCATCTCCGCCATCATGCTGCTCAAGAAGTTCGACGTCAAGGACTGCTCCGCGTTGGAGGAGATGACCGTTGAGCTCGGCACAAAAGAGGTGAACGAACGCTAGCTCATGCACTAGTACTGCTGTTATTCAAAGTCCCATTCATGCGCAGAGGGACATGTGTCTGACGATGTTCTCAACATTTGATCCATGGACAGGCCGTGATGCTCCTCAAGGCGTCGCTGCAGTCGTCGACGGCGCTGACGGATGTCTTTAGCGGTGGCGTCTCCATTGACAGGATTGGCGGTTAATAAGCGAGTCGTCGACGTCGAACATGTACATCGGCTCGCCTTGGATTGGAAGGACTCGTACGTCATGATCAGTCAATCGAATTGAACCATATATCAAAGCAAACGGGTATCAATGTGTACATAAGTCATGCGAACGAATCAAAGCAAAAGCAACCATGATCTCCTAATCTGAAACTCGGTGTTGATGTGTAACGATGTAAGGATGACTATCATTGCTAACAAAATAATGCAGTAAAATGGATCAATGGCTCATGTCCGATGCGTGAATGCTGAGATGGCTCGACATGGCCATGGCGGGTACAAACGACGCATCAATGGCGATGTGCTGGACGCAGTGGTGAGAACCGCCTGTGTAAGAAAATCAAAATGTTTTATGGGTGTCACTTGAGAACCTCCTATGTGTAAATACTCCCTCGGTCCACAAAATAATGCAATTCTCATTTTTTAGAGTAAAATAGATTTAACTTTGACTTAATTTGTATATAAAAAGTACTAACATTCGTGATATAACAAATTATAGAATATATTTTTATAATAAAATTATTTAGAAACATAAATGCTAATACTTGGTCAAATATCAGCTAGTATATATGACCGGTACGGTTCTTACAATTGCATTCTTTTGTGGGCAAAGGTAGTACAAACAAGTGATATATTCTTTTTTAATTCACTAATACACATTTGAGACTCTAAATAAACTCAATTGAAAAAAAGTTTGAACTAGATCTTTTCGTGTACTATAACTTTAGTTTAGGTCATTTTTCTTTAAAAAACTATAAAAATATTAATTTTAAAATCATTGATTAAAATAGAATTTCTTGGCTCTTATGGTTTCAAATAAAAAAATATCAACTAAAATGTTGTAGATATTTTTGAATAATACGACTTTGGTTTTGATTATATTTCTATCCGATCACATTTGATTTTTTTAGATAAATGCCAATTATTTGTACTCATGGTTTATTCTACTTACATTGGCAATAGCTGACAATGGCCCTGTTCATTTTGGTAAAAAACCATGACTAAAAGTACTGATCGCTGATTTGTTGGGAGAGAAAACACTATTCGTTCGCTGAAATCCTTTAAGATAAATGGCTGTGTAAATCAATTTATATTTTATTAAGGCTATCACCAATAGAAGAATTCATAGGCCTTGTTTAGATCACTTTCAAATTCCAAACGAACAGGGTCAATTTTTTAAGATATGGAGCATTAAATATGTAAAAAATCAATTTATATTTTATTCAACGAGGCTATCGAACAAAACCAATACAAACAGAAGGATTCATAGTGGCGGTAGGTTTAGCTCCTCTCTTTCCGGAAGCGACGATGGCGGAGGCGAAGCCGACGATGGTGTTCGTCTACGGCACCCTGAAGCGCGGGTTCCCTAACCACCCACTCCTCGTCGCCTCCGCCACCCCGTTCGTCGGAGCCGCCTCGACGGCCGGCCCGGCCTCCCTCGTCATCGGCCCCTACTCGGTCCCCTTCCTCCTCCCCACTCCCTCCTCCGCCTCCTCCGGTCGCGTTGTCTCCGGCGAGCTCTACGCCCCATGCCCCGCCCCGCCGCTCTCGCCGAGCTCGACGCCCTCGAGGCAAGCGCCTGGCCTCCTCATTGTTCCTTTGTCCACTGCTTTGGTCTCCTCCCCCACCCCCGCATCTCAGCCTCCCATTTTGTCGCAGGGCACCCACATCGGTGTGTACGAGCGGCGCCCGATCACCGTCGTGGCCGACGGGTCGGGCGAGGCGGTGCAGGCGGAGGCGTACTTCGCGCACCCGAGCTACGCGGAGGCGCTGCGGCGGTGAGGCGGCCGAGATTGGGGAGTACACCGTGGACCATGCCGGCGGGTACGTCCCGAAGAGTGAGCGCGCTGCCGGCGTTGCTGGGCTCATTGACGCTGTCCATAGATTCCTCGCCACTGCCCCGGACAACTGACGTGGTGTGCACGGATTACTACCATAGTTCAGTGAATTTGTCACCTGTTGTTTCCTGGGCTAGTGCTTCTGTTTGCAGCTCTTGTTTTGTGGAGTCTGTTGACTGTTATGAACTGTAAAATAATATTCATGCTACAAATTTGCAGACACTAATTTTAGGCTATGCAAGTCGTCATATTCAGCATGACTGAATCCAAGTTTTTCGAATAATCATTCAAGGTTTGCATACAGAGCCATTTTGTCTTGTTCAGTGTAGATTGCATACAGAGCCATTCAAGTTTATCTAAGCATTGCAGTTGTGAAATCCTGAATTCTTTGGTAGTTTGGATAAATAAATGTACTTGCTCTTGGACAAGAAAATTTTCACAAGTGCTAATCCATGCGCTGTTTAATGCAAAATACATCCTTGCATATAGGGAAATGTTCAGAAACCTGAAAGAAGGAATACTTTCTAGTTCTATGCAACCTAGAGATGAGGATATTTTGACAGCTGAGTTGCTAGTAAGAGGATTTGGACTGCATAGATGCATTTCTAGTAAGGGCCGTGTTGTTATTAGCAGATTCTGCTGTCCTTTTACAGTGAGGTTGAAAGTTGAGACCCACTGCTGTCATTTAGCTAGATGGGTTCGGAGAATTTATGCTCACTGTTTTCAACAAGCTGATATGTGTTTCCTTGGTGGTCAGCACACATTTCATGAATTTCATCTGTTCCATCTTGTTTGGATGGACTGGACCAGCAGACTGGGAAATCGTCGAGTATTGGCGCCTGTTTCATTTCATACTGTGCAGGGCAATGAACCTGAACTTGGCAATGGAGTTGATATTCTTTTCTTCTTCTTTTGGTTTCGTTTGATAAATAGAATGTGTTTTTTTTTTTTAAACAATGGAGTTGGATAGATGCTTGGCTTGCTGAAAGGAAACAGGGACGTGTCGAGAAGCCATGCTGAATCCTTAAATCTCAGCCATTCTAAAATATATAAAAAAAAAAAATTCTCAGCCAGTGCTTTCCTCGTACATTGTTTTGTTTGGGCCAACCAGCCCATCACATCTTATTTCTCTATCTTTGGGCTGGGCTCGGATGGACTTACGCACCCGTGACTGGTGGACTAGACAGGGAAATCCCAAGTCACGACGACTTCCCCGAGACGACGGCGAAACAGGGGGAAGCGGAAGAAAGGAAGGAAGGGGATCGCCATGGCGGCGTCGCCGCAGCAGCAAGGCCAGGGCGGCCCCGGCGGCGGCGGGTGGACTCCCGAGCAGTTCTGGTCGCTGCTGGACAAGGCGGACCGCCGCTTCGCCCGGGTGCGAGACCTGCCCCCCCTCGGCCGCCAGGAGCCCGACGCGTTCGCCAAGGCCTTCCGCGCCTACACCCAGCTCTGGCGGATGCAGCAGGAGCACCGGCACCGCCTCCTCGACGCGGGCCTCCGCCGCTGGCAGGTCGGCGAGATCGCCGCCCGCATCGCCCACCTCTACTACGCCCAGTACCAGCGCACCGCCGACACCGCGCTCCTCTCCGAGGCGTTCGTCTTCTACCACGCCGTCCTCGACCGCGCCTACTTCCAGGACGCCGACCACCACCTCTCCCCCGCCAAGCACCTCCGCTTCCTCGCCAGGTTCCTTCTCGTAGCGCTCCTGCTCGCCAGGCGCTCCCACACCGTCCCGCGCCTCGCCTCGGACATACGCACGCTCCTCGATGACTCCAAAATGTCCTTCCAGGTGCGTCCCACTGCAATCCCAGGTTCCACACTCAAATTCGATTGATCCAGTTATCCTGATCATCAATCAATGTAATTCAATCTTCACTCTCGTATCTCATGCTGCACTGTGCAGGATGCCGAATACAAGGAGTGGAAGCATGTCGTGCAAGAGATCGCGAGGTTCCTGCGAGCTGACTCACCGTTTATGAACATGATTCCGCTCAGGTACAGCTACGCATTCGATCCGCCCCCAGATACACTTCGTACTGTACCACCTACTGTCAAGAAGCGAGGTCTCGTCTTAAGTGACACCATACTTTGCAGCTACTATCCTAACGAGGTAATGCTTCCGCATCTTCCTTGCATACACCAACTTATGCCTGTGCTGGGGTGGGTGGGGAGTTAGTACCGAGGAAATAATTTCACTGTGGTTCATCCAGGTCAAATTTACAGACCTCTCCATAGATGTATTCAGAATGGTTCAGTGCCTCGAATGGGAGCCATGTGGTTCTTTTGCGCTAAACAATGGTTACAGCGCCCATGATGAAAGTGGACAAAATCAACCGAATCTATTAAAAGATTTAAGAGATGCTGCACTGCCTCCAAATCCACTTAAGACAATTCTCTATCGCCCTTCAGTGACACATTTCCTAACGGTAAGTTCACCTTTCAGTTTTTGTTTCTCACTTGGCATTGCCTTTCTCCTATTTTTCTAGAAACACTCTGTATCCAGTAGTCCACTTATCTTGCATCTGAGTAAAACAAAACTAGATGCTCACCATCATATTTGGAAGCTCTATGGTATATGCAATGGCTTAGTTCTGAGAATACTATCACAGTACGTACTTGTGCGTTCAATCTAGTGTAACCTGTGTAACAGTTAATTTGTGTTGCTTAAAACTGCAAGGATCCTGCAATATATCATACGAACTTAGTGATCTGAATTATCTGAAAGGAATCATGATAATGAGGGGCACTGCTTAACTCCACTTATCTGGTCCACCATTTGTGCACCCATTAGTTCATGGCATGAGTGGCTGCAAATTTTCTTAGAAAGTGTGATTGATAACACAGAAGCTTGAACATCGAATTTAAGTTGGTCTGTGTTTGTGATTTATTTAGCAAGACTAATTCAACTCTACCCATGGTTTCAAAACTATAAGAGAAAATAGTTATATGCAGCTGTTATTTTTTATCTATTTAATCATATATTTTTTTTTCTAAATATGTTTGTTTAAATCCAGGTCCTCGCCACAAAATGCGAGGAGCTTCCTTCAAATGGTATCATGTTAATATATCTTTCAGCTACAGGTTAGTAGTGCCCCAGGGTTGTTTGCTTCAATGTTGTCACATTTCTGTGTATGTCAAGGGTATTTCAGTTAATATTACAAAATCTTTCAGGGGAGATGGGAACTTCTGGATTTTGTCCTGATACTGGTGAAAAGGTTTTGAGCAACTTCAATAAGTTTGACATATCCGGTACTAGTCATACTAGTTCAAAGGAAAACAAAGAACCTTGTCTATGGTTAGGCTGCCGTGAAACTGAAGGTATTGTCTTTTCATTTTTATTGTAAGTTGCCTTTTGCTGACTAGAATTATCTCCTTTTCAATAAGAATATTGTTTCTGCCATATCTGAAATATCTAGGTTCGAATTGCATATACCCTGGTGATCTAATCCCATTTACAAGAAGACCCTTATTTTTGGTGATTGACAGTAGCACCAGCTATGCATTCAAGGCAGGTTTGATCTTTTTTCCCTCCCTAGAACTGAGCAACCACTATCTGGACAATGAGGGTTGTAGATCTTTTCCTTTTCCTTTCTGGCCTACCTCAACTTGCTTGGGACTAAAGGGCTGGTCGCTGGTATTCATTGTCTAATGCTTTGTACTGAATTGTGTAATTTTTAGGCAAAGCATAAGTACTCATAACTCATGTAATATGCAAATAAGCCATATTATGTGCATTTTTTTTTTTGTATTTTGTTCAGTTTTGAAGTTTTTGCCAAACTCTGTTTGCCTGTCTTAAAACATTTAACTGCTTAGTTCAAATGTGATCTGTGGTGCTTATTTCCATCTTGATAGGACAGTTTCTTCTGTGCCCCTATTTTGCCGTGGTACCTTGTGCTTTGCGTAATTTTGTTCTTATTTTTATTTACTGTCATTCAATTTCTTTCTATGTATTGGGATATCTGGACTATTTGCTTTATTTTCCTGTAGTCTTGACTATCTGGTATCTACTGTCAAACATAATGTTCCTTTATAACTGCAGTCTATTCATGGTACTGAAAGGGGGGAGACTGCTGCCATGCTACTTTCACCGAGTTCCCGATCTTCCGCTGTGGGATTCAGTGGTGATTCTACTCGGCACAGTGGTAGCCAATTTACTATGTTCCTCACAGCTCCATTGCAAGCTTTCTGCCTTCTGATCGGCAACAATGGGACAGATATTGACAAGGTACCCATATTTTTTATGAATTTCTTCAGACATTATAGTATATTTAAAGCCTTGACATGGGTTTTGTAGGATGCATATAACAAAGCTGAGGAGTTATTGTTATTGTCCCTAAATGAATGGGCCACGACTTTAGTTGCATCATCTTCACTTCATCCTGTTTGGGTTGAAGTTTTAGGCGACCCACTCCTAAGAAGGCTACTTCTCAGGTGAGTTAGTCAAATCTTGCCATGAATCTCTACTCATTCTGTCAAAAGTAGTCCTTTTTGTCTGGAACTATGAATGATTGATTTTGGGCTGCCTTTGCTTTATGAACATCACTATACTGTGCTCGCTTGTAAGTGGTTTCTTGTTACTCCCTCTGTTCCAAAATGTAGATCGTTTTAGTTTTGTCCTACTTAGTCAAACTTCTCTAACTTTTGCCAAGTTTATAGAAAAGTACACCTAGATCTACAACATCAATTTAGTAAATCCAACCTGAAGTATGTCTTGATAGTGCACTTATTTGGTATTGTAGATGTTAATGTACTTCTCTATAAACTTGATGAAAGTTAATTTGACTTGGGACAAAACTAAAGCGACTACAATTTAGCACGGAGGTAGTAGGTTATTAATTATCACATCTGCAGTAATGCCATATGTTGAACTGGCCTTCCAAAATCTATATCTATATATCTTATTATATTTTCAATCCCCACTAGCATTCTATCTCGCTATGCAAAGTGTCCACATCAGCATCCACTAGTACATCCCACTAGCATATGCAATTATGTCTTCATTCGAGCTATTCACATCAGCAAACTACTTCATTTAATAACCTATATTTAGTTGTCCACATCAGAGTGCTAAAAATCACCTGCTAACATGTATTATAATATTTATTCGTCCATATAAGTAAATATAGGTAGTATAATTTCACATGCGATTTCCGCAGCAACACGCAGGGCATTCTTCTAGTTCTACTATTTGTATCTTCCAGTCTGCTCCATAGATGATGCCCTGATACACATATATTTGATACAATCCAACTATTTTATTGGCTGAAAGTTCAGTTCGATTGTTTCTGCAGGTTCATCTTCTGCCGAGCAACCCATTCCCTGTTCAAACCAACAAACCATAAGGCAGAGTTCCTTCCGACCTGCATGCCTCCTCTGCCTGAGTCTGTTGATGCTGAGAGCATGCTGTCCCAAAGCTGTGTGATGCGAGTCGCATCATTCTTTGGCGTTGTCAGCCAGTTCTCATTTGCTGAGGTTACGACATGGCCTGATGTTGACCCTGAGGAGGCTGTTGTCACCAGTTCATCTGGCAGTGCCAACAAAGGAGGGCCTGAGACAGCCAGAGATTCAGACATTTCAAACTCATCTTCATCTTTTTGATGATGATTAGGCTGCTGCGGCGACCATCGGGCTACCTTTGCCCGCTTGTGTTAATGTTACTCATCTCCATATGCGGATCCATTTTGTAATTATTTGTGCTCCTTCATGCTTGATATTACACACATCAAGCAGACGGACTGCCTTGCCCTTTTTTTGTTTTTTATTTACTGAATTGGTAGTCACTAGAACATTTTGTTACCCCTTACTCAGTTTGGAGACGTGGAGCTGTGTGAGAAAGTACTCTCCATGGCTCGGTAGAATATACTCCCTCCATTCTGAATTTTAAATCATTTTTGGCTTTTGCAGATGCATAGTTTTTTTATGCATCTAGATATACATTATGTTTAGATATATAGTAAAAGCTATGTATATAAAAAAGCTAAAACCGACTTATGATTTGGAATGGAGGGAGTATTATGCTAGAGGCCAGGCGCATGCATCAACTAAACGATACCTGAAGCTTGCTGTTTCGAAAGGGTAGAGTGCAGATGAATTGTATGGTTACCACCCCCCACCCCTGTTACACACACACTAGGTCAGTGCAAACCAACAGCACCCAGACTTGTGTTTCAACCAGGTCCTTGTATTGTATGCCAGGTACTGATTCTTTCAGATCTGTTCACACACACTTCATCTCACTGAACTATTGACGACTATAGTTTTTTCTGCGAATATGCCTGGGCACATTTCATTAAGAGAAGGAAGCGTGACGACACACATCCAAACTAGAGAAGGGCTTGGACAACTATACTTCATAACCGAAAGCATCATTATTTTCAAATGACAGCTACAGAACTACTAACAGTTGCAGAGAACAGTGTGAACACACACTGATTATTGGGCTGTTAAAAACATATAAGTGCTAATATACAAGAATGGCGACATCATTGCATTCTCACTCATTGTTCAAAATCAGGGTAAAAATGTACATGGACAGGAACAACACAAGAACATATATGTAAAGTGCAATACAGGGACATCAACCCAAGGATGGCAGCAGAGCTGACCTTATTAGACTCACAACGGATAAGCACATAGGAAAAAAGGATAAATTGAAAAGAGATGAATTCACAAAATACTTGCTCTTGCTTGGCTTTTATTCAGTAGTGCATTCCAACATAATGTGTTGGTCGATGAACCATAACACAGAGGTTTATCAATTACCAGGCCTTAGTTTTTCAAGTCTCAGGCTTGGTGGGATCAGTTGAGTCATCTAATCTGCTGGAGTCATTGTCCTTGTTCCGAATACCAGGAGAAGATTGCTCAACAGATTTATTTGAAGCTTCTGCCTGAGATTGGCTACTGTTATTCTGATAGCTATTTGCTGGAAGGCCTCCTTTGCTAGGATGCCCAGTTTCTAAGCTTGGTGCGTCAGTTTCATGACCTTGGGTCTTGTCTTCAGACTGTAGCTGCACCTTGGATTCTTCAGAAGATCTTGAGCTGTACTCGGATTTACTAACAGCTTTGCCATCACCTGGTGCATCCTCAGTTGAGTTGGGGGCATCTTTTGTGTTCTTGCCTAGCTGCTGAAATACTGAGGCTTGTTTTCCTGATTGATCTAAAGTTTCAACTTGAGATATTCTGTTGTTCTTCAGATTGGTATTTTCTGAATCCTCAATGTCTTCTAGCTCAGCAGTTTCAATCTCATTTGGTTTACTTTGTTCAGCTTGCTTCTCATTACCCTCTCGCGGTGCAATAACAGCTTGGTCAGCCAGTTGTTCGTTCTCTGGTTCTTCACTTGATTCCCCCTTAAGCTTTGAAGGTGGTTCTTGGAGTTCCTCAAATGCTCTCGGTATGTTAGACCTTACTGTTCCATCAGCTTCTTTGTTGTTATCTTTAAATGATTGAGTACCAAACTGGTCAACTTGCTGCGACTTGGATTCTTCATTGGTTGATGCTCCTTCAAGGTTCCTTCCGGAGTTTACTCCTTTGGAGTCTGCACTCTCAGATTGCTCAACTACTTGGTTGGATGAAAGATCGCCATTTGGTAGGGTGTTGACTTGATCTTGAGTCGTAGTAGTTTTCCCATTACTCAAAACATCAAATGAAGCTCCTTTTGAACCTATTATTTCAATAGTGGTCTTGTAAGTGGTAAGGATCAACACTTTCCCCAAATTATATATATAGCTCTATGCTTGAGATGGAATGGATTCAGGGAGAAGGAATTTGTTATTTAGGAGCCTGAACAAGCAAGATCCTTACATGATCACTAGGTCTGTCTGGACAAATTTCTAGGAAGATTTTGTTGCGGATGATCTAAAATGATTCTGGAAGGTGCAATGACAGTCAATACAAACACGAAACTTGTGGTGGAAATAGTTTTTTTTAGTATTCCTTTTCTCACTAAGTCAGAAAAACAATGCAACTCTAGTCAACTAAGAGGAAACAGACCAAGATATTACCTGATACAGGAAGTTTTTCTTCTGCTGGGGCAGCTTCGCCTTGTGTTTGCGAGGAACCAAGTTGAGTGTCTGGAGAAGATGCTAGGTACCCTGTCGGTGCCTTGGCTGCTTGACCAGTTGATTTAGCCTTGCTCGAGGCATCAAATGATACATCTTGAGTTGCTGCAGGTAATTGTGTTTGTGTCCCAGGCTTAGGAGAATAATTTTCTGCAGGCCCTTCACCAATTGAAGGGACAACATCACCAAGGGTTGGTGCTAAATCAGACCCAGACTCTGAAATATTTGCTTGGCTAGATGGAAATGTGGTCGTCTTTTCATCAACGTTAGTTCGATACGGATCAAAAGTTTGTCCTTCACGTGGTTCAAAAGAACTTCCCCGAGGAGGCTCATCAATGTGACCATCATCAGGAGTACTTTCCTGAAATTTCCTTGATGCAACCTGAGCACCTGGGAATGAAGGTTTATCAGTGTCTGGAACAGGTTTAATGGCCTGTTGATGAGTTATTGTTTGCATGTCCTCGGCTTGATCAGCTGCAGTAACAATAGTGTCTTCTTTTGTTGGCTCAGTAGAGAAAGGGGTCTGTACGGTTCGAGAAGAATTTGGACCTGTAATATGAGGAACGACCTTATTAGCAGCAGAACTATGCATAAAGAATATCAACCTAAAATTAATAGTCGGGTGAATTTCTGTTCATCGGGAATTTAGCCTACCCCAACTTGCTTGGGACTAAAAGGCTTTGTTGTTGTTGTTGTTGGGAATTGCCTCACCTGGTTCAGTACCTTCAGAAGCATCGGATGGTGCTGCTGAGTTCATCGCAGGTGTCACGGTTTGATCAGTTGAGGCTTGTTTTGGTGACTCGATATTTCCAGAGTCTTGTAAACCCTTAGAAGTTGGTGCTTGTGTTGCTGCAGGAGGTTCTGCCTCTTGCTTCTCCATAGAGCTTGTGGCTGGCATACCAGCACCACTAAGAAGAGCATCACCACCAATTTGTGCTGAATCAGGCCCAGTGCTTGAAGTTTGTGCCTGGCTAGATGGAAGTGTCCTCTTCTCATCTACAATGGCACTATGCACTTTAGGGGTAGATCCTTCAGAAGCACGTCCAGCACGAGAGGTGTCTTCTTGGCTAGCAATAAGTGGGCTTCCCAAATTTCTCATCTGACCATCGTCAGGAGAAGATTCCTGGTCTCTTGATAAAGCGTCACTAGCATCTGGTGTTGAGCTTGTGACCTGACAGGTAACATTTGTCGGTGGTACACTGGTTTGATCAGCAGTGGCAGCATCTGTATCTTCTTCCCTTGGTTCAGCAGAGGCAAATGATTTTGAGGCATTGGCAGATTTTTTATCTGAAATGAAAAGAGTAGTTCTATTTTAGTATCCCCTTTTTTTTCTACTAAACCGGAAAAAAGGTGCACCTTTAGTTAACCAACAGGAAAGGTACTAAAACATTACCTGATACAGCAAATTTTTGTTCTGCTGGGGCAGCTTCGCCTTGTGTTTGTGAGGAACCAAGCTGAGTTTCTGGAGAAGATGCTTGGTACCCTGTTGGTAGCTTCTCTCCTTGCTCAGTTGACTTAGCCTTGCTCGAGGCATACGGTGATACATCTAGAGTTGGTGCAGGTAGTTTTGTCTGTGCTCCAGGGTTAGGAGAATAAGTTTCCACTGGCCCATCATCTGGAGTACTTTCCTGAAATTTCCTTGATGCATCCTGAGTACCTGAGAATGGAGGTTTAGCTGTGTCTGGAGCAGGTGTAATGGTTTGTTGATGAGTTATTGTTTGCATGTCCTCGGCTTGATCAGCTGCAGTAACAACAGTGTCTTGTTTTGTTGGCTCAGTAAAGAGAGGGGACTGTATGTATTGAGAAGAATTTGTACCTGTAATGTGAGAAACAACCCTATTATTAGCAGAAGAACTATGCACACCGAACATTGAGCTGAAATAATCGCCGGGTAATTTCTGTTCATCTGGGATTGCCTCACCCTCACCTGGTTCAGTACCTTGTGGAGCACCTGTTGGTGCTGCAGAGTTTATCGCAGGTGCCACAATTTGATCAGTTGAGGCTTGTCTTGGTGACTTAATATTTCCAGAGGAATCATTCTGGGAAAATGCAGTGTCTTGTAGACCCTGAGAAGTTGGTGCTTGAGTTGCTGCAGGAGGTTGTGCTTCTTGATTCTGTACAGATCTTGTAGGCAGCACATCCCCACGGGTTGGTGTTGAGTTAGGCTCATTGACTGAAGTTTGTGTTGTCTCCTTATCAACAACAGCACTGCGCACTCCAGGAGTAGGTCCGTCACGTATGTCAGAAGGAAGCACAGCATGAGAGGGTTGCTGATATTTCTGTAAAGCCTCTCTTGAATCTGGTGGTGGTGCCTTGGCTTGATGTCGAACAGTTGTCTCTGTACCTTGTGTTACATTTGGTTGATCACCTGCAGCAGTATTTGCTTCTTCTTTCCTTGGTTCAGTGGAGGAAGGGCGTTCTGTAGTATGTGCGGGTTCTTGATCTGAAATAAAGGAAATTGACCTCAGAGTATGCTCAGAACTATTTATCTTGGCCACGAAGACGGTAAAGTTTTAGTTAATTCTAAAGAGAAAACAACAACAGCATTACCAGATATAGCAGATTTCTGTTCACCTGGGGTGGCTTTGCCCTGTGGGATACCATTCTGGGTGTCTGGAACAGATTCTAGGTCCACTGTAGATGTTGTGGAAGCTTGCCGTGGTGGCTGGACTGAATTTGTACCTGTAATTTGAAGACAGTGGCCTCACCACTTGTATCAATTTCAAAAACTTAAGCTCTATGGCTCAGATGGTGTGGGTTCAAATCGTTGAATGAGAAGGGTATCAGTGTATCACCACTTAGGAGTCAGAACAGTGAATCTCTTACACGATGAATATCTATAGTTTAACATTATTTCCCAAATGATTTTGCCCACAGGTCCGCAACAGAATGCTAAAGAATTATGAAGTAAACTTTTTGCCTATAATAGTGAAGCACACCTATGTGGACTCAATTATTGCTAATTAGAGATTTCCTCACCTGGTACAGTACCTAGGGGAGCAACTGAAGGTAAAGATGGGCTCATTGTAGGTGCCATGGCTTGATCAGTTGAAACGTGTCCTGGCGACTCGATTTTTCCTAAGGAATCAGTAAGTACATTCTGGGCAGATGCAGAGTCCTGCAGATCCTGTGTTTCTGGCAAAGAACCTGCTGCTGGCATGTCACTGCTGCTAAGACGACCATCAGCACTGATTGATGTTGAACCAGGTCCAGTTTTTGAAGTTTCTGCTTCGCTAGATCCAAGCGTTGTCTCCTTATCAACAACATCACTGTGGGCTTCAGGGCTACGTCCTTGGGGTGACTCAGAAACATGCCTATCAGGAGAAACTTGCCCCTGGCTTGGAAGTTTCTCATCAATGTGATCATCCTCGGTACTTTTCTGAGTTTTACTTGAAGCATCAGGAGTACCCGAGAAGGGAGTTTTTGCTTTGTCTGCAGCAGTTGTCATGTAATTTTGATCAACTGTTCTTTCAAGTGTGCTGGTTTGATCTGTTGGAGCAACAACAGTGTCTTCTTTTGTTGGTTCAGTAGAGAAAGACGTCTGCACAGAATGGACAGAATCTTGACCTGAAATGGAAGATAAACTTTACTAGTGGCAGGACAGTTGGTTTGAAGGGTATAACTACTAGAATGCGCACTGTTTGTCCAGTCAGTACTGGAAAGAACTTCATTACCTGACGGAGAAAACTTTTGTTTAACCGCAACTTGATCTGGTGCAGCACCATGTTGTGTGTCCGGAGCTGATACTGGGACTGCTGCAGCAGGTTTGCCTTCTTGAACAGAGGGTGGTTTGGATGACTTTTTCTCACCTGAGTCATCAGCAGGTTCATCTTCCTGAAGTTTCCCTAAAGGACCCTGAGAGGATGGTGCAGAAAATTTTACTTGTCTCCCAGGAGTTGTTTGGGAGTCCGTGGTTTGATCAGGTGCAGCAACAATGACATCTTTATTTCTCGGATCAGTAGTGGAATCTAACTGTGTGGAAGGAGCTAAATCTCCAATCTCCTTGCTCCTTGGCTCTGAAATATGGGAAACAAACTTACAAGTGGATTAACTGTGTTTTTAAGGGTATTCCTGCTGCAGTTAATTAACTATAACTATGCCCTACTAGAGTATGCATCATTTGTCAAAACTCCATATGTGAAAGCACTTCATTACCTGGTGGAACAAACTTCTGTTCATCAACGGATAATTCATTTGGTGCACTACCAAGCTGTATGCCCGAAGCTGATGCTTTTGAAGGCTTGCCTTCTTGAATAGCAGAGGATGGTCTTGAAGGTTTAGCTTTGCCCAAGTTATCACCAGGTATATTTTCCTGAACCTTCTCTGAAGGATGTTCGGTAGACAATATGTCTTGTTGGCCAGGAATTGTTTGCAAGTCCTTGGCTTGATCACGTACAGCAACCATAGGATCTCCTTTACTTGGATCAGTAGAGGAAATTAGCATAGCTGAAGGAGACGAATCTCTAATCTCCTCATTCCTTGGACCAAGAGAGAAAGCTGGTTGTGCAGGATCAGCAGAACCTTGACCTGAAAGTTTGATATTAATAGTGAGTTTTGTCACGGCCTATGGCTAGTGCACTATACGGCAATAGTTACCTGATGAGGCAGATTTTTGCTCAGCAAGCGCTGCTTCACCAGGTGCACTACTAGGTGTCCTGTCACGAGCATCTGGAGTTGCTGATGGTTTCACTGACTGAACATTTTCCAGCTCAGTGTGGAAGGAGTCTCTAGCCACACTAGGTGATGGTGCTTGAGTTGCAGGCGTTAGTTCTTCCCCTTCAACTGATAAAGGTCTTCTGGCAGGTTCAATGGTACCAGTATCGTGAACATCGTCATGGCTAGCTGTATTATTAAGTGTGTCTTCTGATGTCAGAGCCTGTTTTCTGTCTGGTATGTCTTGTCGACCAATGATTGTTGGCTGTGTCGTGGTCTGTTCAGCAGTGGGAATAACAGTTTGCTCTTTCCTAGGTTTCACCAGAGATCGACTCTTCTGAAGAATGAGGTGATTCTTCATCTAAAATGGAGAAAGCAATGTAAGGTGTAGCAGGATTTTTTTTTTGGTGGAATGGAATCAACAATATGGTTTTCTCTCATGTAAAGAGAAACTAATTACCTGACAGGGCAAATTTCTTTTCAGCAGGACCTACTTCGCCTGGTTTGAAAGGAGATCTGACATGAGAACCTTGTTTTCCACTTGAAACCAATGGAGTAATTGACTCAACAGTCTGTTGACCATCGGGGGTGACTTCATGAACATCTGCCGAGGAAAGTTGGATATCTGACGTTGGAAAAACTCTTGCGCCTTGTGGAGATTTCATTTCTTCTTGACCAGGGATTGCTTCTGATTCATGTGAAACATGTTCTTGATTTGGAACAGATGGTTTTCCTGAGTCATCAGTGCCGCGGTTATCAGGAGCTACCTCCTGGATTTTCCCTATAACACCCTGGGTATCTGGGGTTCGAATTGCTATTGTGCTCGGTGCAGGTGGTCTGGCCTGTTGCCGAAAAATCATTTGCGGCGCATTAGTATAATTAGCTGCAGAAACATTACTGTCTGCCTTTATTGGTTCAACAGGGGAAGGATGTTGTGCAGCACGAGCTGATCCTTTATCTAAAATCCACAAAGTAAACTGTCACTTTTGAGGAACTATTCATGATGCAAGTTTTCTCTAGGCTAGTCAGCAGTTAGTTTTTATACAAAAGAAATCAGTTACCTGACGGAGTGGATTTCTGTTCTGAATGGGCTACTCCAGCTGGTACGATGTCAGCGCGTTGGGGATCCGCTGATGTTGGGCCAGCTGCAGGCACTGTTGCTTCTTGATCAGTTACAGTTGGTTTTGCCAATTCAGCTTTTCCCGAGTCACCAGTATGTACATATTGGAATGAATCAGAGTCATGTGGAGTCTCAACAGTTGGCTGTACTTGAATTGATGCAGGTCGCGGTGTCTGGTGATCATGTAAAGATCCTGTGACAACCTCATCACCACTAGCATGATCTGTTGCTGTCTTTTCATCAATAGCTGCATCATGAGTTGACAAACTGGCATCATAAACATGTTCGTGGATTGTGGCAGGATCTCGAGTAGCTTTTGCACCCTCTAATCTTTGGCCCTCAGACGCGCTGACAAGCTCACCGGCTTCATGACTATCAGGAGTTCTTCTCAGGGTAGGTGCTGAATCAGGACGAGCAGCTGTAATTGGTGCTTGCATTTGTTTTGGTTTCCCCACTCTTTCACCAATGTTGGACTGCTCAGTAAATTTGTCACTGATAGTGGAACCATCAGCTCTGGCAGCTTCTGGGAGTGACGGTGCAGCACGTCCAACATCAGATGCTTCTGCAACAATTGGTACAGGTGGTTCGACCCTTTGCTCACCAGATTGTTTGGCCATCTGGTTGACACTCTGTGAACTTGGAGTTGCTTCTTGACTCATCGGTCTTGTCTTTTGATCATTGTTAGAAGACTTGGCTGCCTCATCATCACTATAATCAGTAATTACACCATGTAAGGGAGTAGCCGTGCGTTGCCATTGATCAATGGTGAATGATTTGCTAGGCAAATCCCCATCAGGAACTGCTCTTTGTAATGGTTCAGAGGCAGGTTGCACTTGGGATGTTGGTTCTTTGCTTGATAGAGATGAAGCCACTTTCTGATCATCGACAGTGTATTTTTTATATTGCTCTTCTGCACTGTGACCATCATGAATATCTGCTCTGGCTGGATCATCTCTAGCTTTTTTTGCTTCTGATATTTGTCCACCAGGTGTACTGACAAGCTCTAAATGACCAATTTCATGACCTTCTGGAGTTCCTCTCTTAGTAGGTTCTGAAGCAGGATAAGCATCTGGACTTGATGTTTGCATTTGTGTTGGTTCTCCAACTCTTTGATCAATAATTGACTGCATGGCAAACTTATCATCAATAGTGGCACGATTATCCATGGAAGCTCCTGGAAATGATGGTGAAGCATGTTGAACATCAGATATTTCTGCTTCTATTGGTACGGGTGGTTCTGCTCTTTGCTCATCAGATTTTTGCTGACTCGTTGGTGTTGGCTTCTCATCAACGGTCAACCTGGCCACCTCATCACCGGAACTACTAGTCACATCATGTAATGGCGCAGATGAAAGTTGCCATTGATAAATGGTGGATGGTTTGCTAGACAAATCTCTGTGGAGAGCTGCATCATACGATGGTTCAGAGGGAGGTTGGACTTGGGAAGTTAGTTCTCTAGTCGAAAGAGGCGGTGCCACTTTCTGGTCATCAGTGGTGTCTTTTCTAGATGGCTGTTCAGCACTGAAGTCACCATGACTTTTTACTCTTGCTGGTTCTGAAGCATCTAATTTCTCAACAAAAGTAGTTGGAGCATCAGAAGCTTGTTGATGCTTTCGTATAGAACCATCTGCTTTCTCACCAGCTGGGATGGTTTGAGCTTGCTCCTGACTGTCTTGTGCCACCAGAGGCTTCTTCTGGTAAATAGAGGACGTCTTCTCCTCCTTAACAGAGCCAGGGCCTTTAGCTTCTTCATAGGCACCTCTAGATTTCTTGGAAGTGTCAAGAACATCTGGAGACTGTATTGTATCACCAGTTGCACCACGAACATCTTCAGCTGCTGCCTGTCTTGATGGAGCACTTGCTTTCCAATGATCAGAAACTTGCTCTCCGGCTGTACCTGCCCATTTTTCCAACATTTGTTGTCGGTCAGGAACATCTTCTCTACCTTTCATCCCTTTGTCCCAAGTATCTTCCACTTCTGCATGCCTTGGAGTAGGAGCAGGTTGTTGAGAGTACATAGGTTTTGCACTAGATGGTGTAGACTCAGCAACCTTTGCTTCTTTGAAGGTATCTTTAGCCACATCATAAGCTGACAAATTGGCGTCATGAACATCTTCATGGACTGTGGCTTGATCCTGTCTAATTTTTGCAGCCTCTGATATATGTCCATCAGGTGTGCTGAAAAGCTCTGAATCAACGATTTCATGACCATCAGGAGTTTCTCTCTTGGTATGTGCTGGAGCAGAATATGGAGTTGGTAGCATTTTTGTTGGTTCTCCAACTCTTTCATCAATAATCGACTGCCTACCAAACTTATCGTCACTAGTGGCATGACGAGCTGTGGAAGCTCCTGGGAATGATGGTGAAGCACTTTGGACACCAGGTGTCTCTGCTCCAATTTCACCATCACCAGAACTAGAAGCTATGTCATTTAGTGGCACAGTTGCACGCTGCCATTGTTCAATGGTGGATGGTTTGGTAGACAAACCTCCACGGGAAGCTACTTCTTGTAAGGATTCAGAGGCAGGTTGAACTCGAGAAGTTGGTTCATTGCTCAATAGAGGTGGCACCACTGTCTGTTCATTGGTTATTTCTTCTTTGGTAGACAAACCTTTAGCTGCTGGTGGCCTTGATTGAGGAGTAGCTTGCAGACGATCTGAAGATTGCTCTCCAGGTGTACCAGTCTTCCTTTCTCCATGTGTGGTTTGGGCATCCCCTGACACCATTTTCTGTGATTCAGGAATGGTTACTCTACTTTGTCTGCCTTTGTCCTTAGCATCTTTAACTTCTGTTTGCCTTGGAGGAGGAAAAGGAGCTCGCGGTGTGTACACAGGTTTTGCATTTGTTGGTGTAGAGTCAGGAAGTTTTGTTTCTTCAAAGATATTTTTACCACCATCAGGTGCAATTTGCCATGACACAGAAGCAGTGTTGGCAACTTGTATGTCTTCTTCATCATAAGGATATCTCTTTTGGAATGATGTATCTGACCTAGAAGAATCCTCGACCTTTTGTCTTCGTGGAGAAACAGGTGATCTCCAAGCATCTAAAGGCTGCTCAGTTGATGCTACTTCATCGGCAGTCTTTGATTCTTCAGAGGTGTCATTATCATCTTGGGCAGCTTTCTTGTTAGGTGTTGGCGCAGTCCCTCTTGGTTGCTTGCTGGCATCTTCAGCAGTTGGATATCTTGCTTTGGATGGAGGAGTCTGATATCTTGTTTCTTTGAAGGTGTCATCAATTGTTTGTTGCTTCCGTGAAGGAGCATCGGCCCTCTCAAAATATGAAGGTTGCACTTGGAATGACGAAGACTCAGAAACTTTTGTTTCTTCTTTGACATCTCCAGCATCATGGTCTGTCATTTGCCATGGGGTAGAAATTTTGTCTTTAGCTTGCTTGGAAGTATCTTGAGCTCCAGGATATCTCGTTTCAAATGGTGCAGGAGCATGATGAGCACCATCTAAATCTTGTCTTGGGAGAGACGATTGAGAAGTATATGAAAATCTCTCACTGGATATAGTGGAATCTGGAGCCTGTGATTCATCAAATATCTCCCTAGCATCTTGAGGTTCTCCCTGCCTTGGTACAAAACCATGGTCTCTGGGTTGCTTGCTGGTATCTTGACCACCTGGATACGCTGCTTGGGATGAAATTCTCCTGCGAGCATCTTTAGCTGCAGCTTCCCTTGATGGAGTAACACCATGTTCTTGTGTAGAAGGGGGCAGTAAAGCACCTCCCTGATCAGAAGATGCATAATCCTCAAGTTGAGACAAGACATCTCGACTCATTGGTTCTTGAGGAACAGAATGTGAGGTTGCCTGTTCTGAATCTTGTGATGGATACTGCTGCACATCTTTTCTTGGTTTTCCTTGTTGAGTAGACACTAAATGATCAGCATCATCATGCTTTAGGTCATTTAATCCAGTTTTAGCAGAATGCCACTTCTCAACCTGCTGCCTATGATGAACATCAGTTGTGTGGAGCTTGCTAGCAGAAGTATCTGTAGGTTCAAGTTCTGGTGGAGTACAGCCAGAATATGGAACTGATTCTTTGAACCGAGAATCAACACTGGTGCCTGTGCTGTTACTCTTGTAGAAATCAGATGCAGTGGGTTGGTCAGGCTCTTCTCTGGCTGATATAGAACTGGTTTTAGTATAACCAGTGCCAATGTTGGACACAGGGAATGCATCCAATGTTTCTGAAGTTTTTCGTGTAGTAGGTTCAATATATGGTGTATCTGCATCAGTATGGCTTGGGTAGTGATCAAACACATCAAGGTCACTAGAAACATCCTTGGATGAACTTGATTCGAGGATCGAAGCATCTTTGGTGCTCGACTTGGCTGCATCAGTTATTGGGGGCTTCTTGGCAGTGGTTGGGGAAGTAGCATGTTTAGTGCTTTGGACAGGAATAGTGTGTTTTTTAGAAGTGACAGGAGTACTTTGAACTGAGGGTGGTGGTGTTTCTTGAGGGTTAGTAAAGATGGTAGTTTCCTTGCTTTGGACAGCTGAAGTTTTATCAGCAGCAGGAGTACTATGGCTTGAGGATATCAGTAATTCATCAGGGGAAGTATCACTAGGAAGAGGCTTCTTTGTTCGAGGAACTATGGAAGATGATGACACGGTATCAGTAGGAGGAACCAATATTGTCCGAGGCTCTGTTCTGATCTGCTTTCTAGGGTCTAGCTGAATTGAGTCAGCAGAGGTTCTAGGATCCTCCTCCTCCTCCTGCTGCTGCTGCTTCTTGAGTTCTTGTTTGTTCTGCTCCTCCACCCTCTTCATATACCTCAGTACTTTCTTCCAAGAATCCCGATCAGAAATAGCATCCCACCACCTCCTTACATTTTTCCTCGAATCATAAAGGTAAAGAAACTTGTTAGACGCTTTGATATAGTGGGAGTTTGGCAGGTGAACAAGGTCGGCAAGAGTGAACTTGTTTCCAACTAGGAATTCACTGTCACTGAGCCTTTGCTCATAAACTTCCAGAACCTCTTCTAGCTTCCTTGTATGAATGTCAATATCATCATCTTCTTCTTCACCCAGGGGAAAGGCCAAATGACAAAACAAGGCCTGGCTTGGAGGGTTGAAAGCATGCTCCTCGTTGTGGAGCCATTGCTCAACTGAAGCCCTCTCAAGGGTATCCTTCCCAAGGAGGAATGGATATCCTTGATGTTCGTACTTTTCTGCTATATAACGGCAGATTTCTCTGGATTCTGAAAATAGAAGGCAGAACCATCAGCTTTAAGTGAAGCACATGTTTACATTTTTTATGAAGGCTGACCTTCAATATTGCAAGTAAAGTACAGAGTGGTTCTTATCACTTGAAGAATGTATTACAACTCTCAAAAGAAGTTTGAATAAATGAGCGCATAAAATTTAAATTCCATTTCAGTACTGCTGATTTTCTGAACCCGCTTTTCTGTTGACTGGCAAGAAATGGATCCCTAACACTTCATGTATATCACTATCACCTAATAAGAGCTAACTATTATGAGCAGTTCATCATGAATTCATTCCCTCCCCTATATTTGTATGTTTACAACTATAGTTTTGTTTCTAAAATCCTGAGTGCTGTCAAATTAACTGCATTCGCAACTGGAGAATACTGCTAAAAGTTTCCTTCTGACTTCAGCAAATGAAGACTCAACTTTTACGGCATTCGTGGGGATGTGCACATTGTTACTGAAAACATATTGTGTCCTGGGATGCCAAAGAGTAACATGTTACTAGTCTAAGTCTATCCATAACTCCACACACTAAAAGCAATATCCTAATATTTGCATGTTAATCGAAAAAGAAAGATACAATGTTTTACATTTTGTGACAAGGAAACAGTATCATATTACAGTTCGACCAAGACCCGGTTCACCTGAGTACTTGGTGGGAGGAGACTGTGCCCAAGGTCGCAAAAGAAGAAAGAAGCGTGAAAGAAGCGTTTTAATGGATGGTGATCTACACATACTGGAATCTATGGAAGGAAAGAAACCGAAGAATCTTCAATAATACCCAGGAATCGGCTTCACAGGTTGCTTCGAGAATTAAGGAGGACATTGAGCAAAGGAGAAGGGCTTTAGAAAGGGGGGCCTAGCAAGCCGGTGTTTGTTCGGCATCCGGGCTGTGCTTCTGCGTGTTTGCCAATTCTTTTTTTCCTTTGCTTTCAAAATCGTTTGGACTTAAACCTGTGCATAAACTCTCTTTTATTCTACCTTAATTGAGAGGCAGAGCTCCTGCCATTCGTTTCAAAAAAAAAAAAACAGTATCATATTAGTTATACACTTTGTTGGCACATATTTTATTTTAATCCTACAGCATCCAACTGCATGTCCGCATATAAGACAACAAAAAAGATTAACTCTTTTGAATATAATATATTTTTACCTTTTAGGAAATTGTAGAGCTAAGTTAATGCAAACTTGCCAGTTGTTCTACATGATCAAAATATATTAAGCTATTGTCATTCAGCTGCTATTCACAAGTATATGCCCAAATTTGAAATCTCAAAAGAACAAAATGATGATATAATCAGGCAATATTATCTACTCACTCCGTTTCAAATTGTAAGTCATTTTAGCTTTGCCCTAAGTCAAACTTGTTTAACTTTAACCAAATATATCAATACATTAACATCTACAATATCATAGATGCACTATCAAGATATATTTCATAATGTATCTAATGAAACTAGTTTGACACTTTGACATTATAGATGTTTTTGTATTTTTCTATAAACTTGGTCAAAGTTAGAGAAATTTGACTTAGGACATAATTTGGAATGGAGTATAGGATATACAAATGTATTGTCAAATTTCATTCACAACTGAAGGCCAATTCTTATGCCCTCTCAGAGTTGCATCCATGTGTTTACACGTTACTGACTTCATTGCTGGCCAATGTTTGCCGCAAAGGAACATTTAAGTAAAGCTTGCATGGATCCAGCTTATAAACAAGTTCAGTAAAGCTTTTTATGGACAAATGCTAGTTACTGATAGTGACTTAGTGCATTGGTTAATTTTCTGCCACCAAGCATTATTTTAGAGAACTGACTGGCACACACTTTGAACAAGCAAGATACTAGCTACAATATCAAAATGATTGGCACACACTTCGTACATGATATGATGAAAACCCCTCTCCTTTTTTGGTGAACAAGAAGGCTCAAGAATATATTTTTAAGTGAGAAATGCCAATAAGTTAATAGATTGGTCTAAATTTATGCCAGGCTAGCCATATATACAACCTTCTGACAATTTCCTAGCGATAACTAATAAACAACCTACCTCCTAGTACCAAGCTAACTTGCCTTTTTTTAATGAATGCAAACTTGAATATTATCCATCTGTAGAAAATATAAGCTCCAGTGTTCAAGGAAAAAAAATGAAAAATATAAGCTCCAAGGAATGAAGGTCCGACATGGAATGGTAAGTTATTTTGCCAAAAATGAAGTATTACCTTCTAGAAATGTAGGGCCATCATAGAATGGAACTGGAGCATGTGATGATGCCTGCAGTAAGCAGAGAATGAAAATACAATAAGAAGACTAATTGCTCACATCTTCGAACATATTCTTCCTGCCACAAAAATTACTAGAATTGGAGACTCCAAATACCTGCAGTCTGAGTAAGCTCTTGTAAGAGGCTGTGTGAGTCTCAAACTTGACATCCTTCTCATAAAGGCATGCAAGCACCCTTGAAACATCTGGTAAGATAAAAGATTTCTCATGATAAACCTGCACAATTGGTGCTCCAATACCGAGCCCCACCATGGTGGCATGAACATAGGTTACAATGCTGAAATGGTGTGAAAGTAAACATATAACTTCCTCGTTCTCAAATATATTAGGTTCCCTGCCTCTCCTGTCAAGCAAAGAGAAGATGCTTAAAGTGTGAACAGAAAAGGAAACCAATGGAGGATGAGAACAGAACAGAATTATATAGATAAAAGGGGTAAGAGAAAAATAAAGAGAAAAGCAAAAGCTAAAGCAAACAAAATCTGAGTGGGTAGCAGTTGACCTTTAAGCTATGGCACAACCCCTCTTCTTAATATGTTCTGTACCATCGAATTTTACCACTAAGAAATTTATATATGGTCAATATTTTCAGGAACCTGATCATAGGGCACCCTATAATTAACTAATTACTGTCAAAACTATGTAAAGATCGATGAAGTAATAGAAAAGCTGCATCATATCTACAAATATTAGTTTGGTAAACCAAAGGAGTGTATTACAGCACACACTAAATGAAATTGGCCACTTATGGACGATGTAATGTTTCTTCTATGAAATAAAAAGAGTGCTCTATTTCATCAATTAAAAAGAACTATGAGCGGCCTCACAAGATTATAGAACAATTAATGTATGTTGTGTCATCATCTACAAGAAGTTTTATCTGAAATTCGGGCAGCATGCACAACCTCAGTAGTAAAGTGTAGAGAACTATAATAAAATCCTGGAGGCATACCTTATAAACAATGCAATCAGAGGACAGATGCGAAGAGCTAAAGCTTAAAGGCACTGATCTCTCAGCTGCATAACCACTTTATTCATTCCTTGGACCTTTCATTAGAGGACAAGGACTATTATGGGAGCAGAAAAGTAATGCTAATAATGCAAGTTTAGTATCAGAAGCATACCTCTAAGAATACAACAACCCATCGAACAAGATGGATGAGCGTCATTTCATGCCAATACAAAAATATATCATGTATCTTGATTCTCACAGCAGTGCAGGAACAAAATCTGGGCACAAGAGAGCTTGCAACTTTACTCATCTTCATTCAGAGTAGAATTGAGCAGCAGGTGTCTTGTTCAGCATGACACTGCATGAGGGACTAAGGTATTGCAGCCTTTTCCTTCTCAAAAGCAAATGAATGATAAAGAACAACATAACGTGGGCATCTCAAACAGTACAATTAATAGCATGCCCAGAACGAATGCAGGGCATTCAAATTTGTAGACAGCATGCTAAAAAATAAATGGACTCCAGAAGAATCATAACACACCGAGAATTAAGATTATTCTTTCAGCTATGAAAGGATCACAACCTGCTAAAAACAACTGTTTACAATTTAGAAGAATTATGTTCCTACATTACATATACTATGAAACCCAGAAGTAACAAGTACAAAAAAGTTATGACAATTTCTGGTGTACAGCCTTAAAAATTGTCCTTTTAAGTAAACTGCAGCAGTTCTTAATCAATATTGTACTGGCATTGGAGCCTGGAATACCAAGGAACTGGCACTGATCATTGCTCAAAACATCATGTCCATCAGAGTGAGTGGAACTGTTGACATTTTCACCATTACAGTGTCTCCTCGTTACAGAATTTTTCTCATTATGCTATCCCTCATTTTTCATCAACCTGTCCCATTGGCTGACAAGAAGAGAAAACCTCCATTCGTTTATGTAAGTTAGCCTTAGTTCATTAACATGAACCTCCCCTCCAGGCCTGAAATGAGTTTATAACATTTCAGAGAAGTTGATTCAGTTGATCAGAATTTTTCCGGTGATTAATTCTTCAGAAGTGCAGCAAACTCTGCATGGGTATTGGTTGCTGTTGTAAAAGCCATAGACTCAGTCCCTGCAAAGTTAACCACGGATCAAAAAAAAAAGTTTCTGCAAAGGATGCTCGCTATATATATGGTCATTGGTGTACAGTACTACAGTGTACCTGGATCAGCCCAGGAATCACAAAATCATACATAGACAAACCTTCATGCTTCCTGACCCCCGGAGGAAACAAGCCCATGCCTGCCCCAGTAGGCAGTACCAACCCCCAACGAAGAACATAAAGCACCTTTCGAACGATTTCCGTGGAAGCATGGAACCAATGAGAATAAAAGACACTGCATCCCAAAGACAGTAGTGAGCCAGAAACTAACCTCCGCAACTTATCAGTATCAGTAGAATGTAGTGGAGCCGCTGTCTAGGCAGAGCAAGAGAGTATATCTCGCTCAGCTTGTCGGAGTCGTCGCCGGGGGGCGCATGGGGCCACGCCCATGTACGGGAGCCCCATTGGACGACACCGCGGCGTCCACGGAAGTGGATCAGCGTTTCACGAGCTGCGAATCAAACCAGGAGGAGCACAGTATGGCGGCGACGCGAGAAGCGAGCCCGAGCCTCGCAGGCGACGAGAGGTCCGAACACCTCTGGGCTCTGGCACGGGCGCACGGCATCGTGGCGGCAGGGGGGAGAGGATTAAGAGAGCAAGCTGGGGAGCTCGCTGGAGGCGAGGAACAGGAGTCACAGAAGAACATCGTGTATCGCAGAGGCCAGAGACGGGCGAGGAGGAACCGAGGAAGTAGTCTACGGTTGATTTAATCGCCGGAGACGGCGACGGCGGCGAGAGGGGATTGACCGGAGTGGAGGGAGAAATTGTGCGAGAGGGCCGATAGGTGGGTCCGGACGTAACCGGGCCGGTGGGCCCGGCCGGCTGCTTCCTGCGGCCCTGCGGGGTCCTTTTAATTTAACTCCTAATTTTTGACAGCAGAAGAACATTCTCAGCCCGTAGCGAAGAACTTTGTTAGAAGTATAATAGGACAATGGCGTTTTTTTTTTTTGCTTCTACTGGAGCTACTCGTGATTGATTCTACTAGAGCTGCACGTGATGAACAAAAGGAACGAACCAAAGAAACTGTTGTCCCACATGAATTTATTCGTTTCTTGGGCCCTTTCATCAGGCAAAAGAGAAGAAAAGTATCGCGGATGGTGCAAGTATGGCATCACAAGTCTAACTCTTCCTGAGTCGCAAAAAAAAAGTCTAACTCTTTCTAGTGCCACTCCTCGAATCATTAGTGTCGAACTGTTGATGAAGACTATACACATGTTTTTCCATTTATTAAGAATAAATTAATATAATTTGTTCTCACGGCAACTGGGGAACAAAAACTTGGCACAGGAGAACCCAAACTTTGTTCTGAGCAGAAGGAGAGATGCAGGTGCCTTGTTCTGTTTTTTTTTTTGACAACAAACAACTTTATTATTAACAGCAGGCAGCTGTTAGGAGCCTTACAGAGTTCAAGGCAACAGATTGTAGTGCCTCTAGGAGAGTGCACTGAACATGAACTGCATTAGAGCAGGTACATAATAAGCCTGATGAAACAGGTGATTGCGATTCTAAGAGGACTTGCCTAGCTAAGACATCAGCCGTCTGGTTGTGAGCTCTCTGGATCCTGAGAATTCTCATATCTCTTTGGCCTGTGAAGTTGGAGAAGGTTTGAGTGAAGTATTTGATCCTCTAGTCCGGTGAATTAGTTTGGTCGAAGCCGTTTAGGAAGTGCACCAGCTGCTGATTGTCAGAGGAAGGTAACCTGTTGCAAGCCGTCATTAGCGCCTTGATGTTGTGGCCGTCATTAGCGCCTTGATGTAGATTGTCTGCGCCAGTTGAACCTGGGTGTTGATGATGAGCAGACGTATTCCTGCATTTCTTGAAGTAAGAGAGGGTAGGTCAGGTGTTGTTGAGGCATCGGTGTAGCATCTGACACCCTGCAGCAAGGCTGGAAGGCGAACGAGGTATCTGTCCTCCGATAGATCCTTGTCTGCTTGCATGAAGTGTACCTGACTGCGGCGCGTCGGCCATGTCCTGCCCTTGCTGGTTGGCTGTGTGGGGTCGGTGATGTGACCTGCAGGGAGAGGGGCTGTACCTTGCAGTGGAGTGTAAGATCGTTGAGCTATGGATTTGGTGTCTGTAGGTTGGGTTTGTAGGGAATCCCGGTGGCTATTGATGTGTGCCTCCGCCGCATGATGCACCTGGCAAGGAGTCCAGGTCTTTCTCTGAAATCTTGTGTCATTTCTGGCCTTCCATAAATACCACATGGTGGTTAGTATCTTGGTAAACAGATCATTAGAGATAGAGGTAGGGATAATAGCTTGTAGGATCAGTTGCACTCCATCGTGGTCTTGCGGAAGGTTGGCTGTGTGTGTGTGTGTGTGTGTGGGTGGGGGGGGGTGCTTGTGGAACCAAACAGCCCAAGGAAGATGACAATGAAAAAATAGATGGGCGTCGTCTTCCACTGCACCACAAACTGCACAATGTTTGTCAATGTGAGTGCTATACCTTGATGCTCTTTCAGCAGTAGCAAGAGCTCTTCTGATTAGTTTCCAAGTGAATGCTTTGATCAATGGGGGTAGATCCTTGCTTTTCCAAGCTCTCTGCAAAATAAGGTTAGCATGGTGAATTATGCTTCTGGAGCCTTGTTGTGGAAGCTGAATCAGCTCCTGTGCCTGTAAATGTTCTTGGTTGAGCTTTTGCCATCTCTGGCCGGTATCCACCTGAGGATGTCATTTTGGTTGCTGTGTATAACAGGGATGTCATTTTGGTGCCTTGTTCTGTTGTTCAGCTACTCAAGCTTGCCGCGTTGTTTCAGTCCACACCACACCGTGCAGGGATGGAGCATGAGCATGTCCAGAAGAGAATGACGACACCTAAAAGAAAAGATGCTAAATGATGGAATGGAATCTTAAAAAGAATCATGCCACGACCTGAATCTGGCTTTTTATTTCCATCTACAGCAAGATTACACTCTGTTAGAGAAATCAGACTGATGATGATGTACAGTTCCCAAGCTTCCTCTCCTATGTTACATTGTGTAATGGAACTCAGGAATAATAACAAGCAGATAGGCGGAAAGCGATGGCTGCAGCTAAAAATTGCCACTTCAGTCAACTGCAGATGCAGCAGGTCTGTATTTCTGTGTACTGGTGCTGACGTGCGAGGAACAGGCGCTAGTTGTAGCTCAAGTCCTTCAAGGATGGACCGAGGCCATGTACATTTCAAGTCTTCAACCGTGTCTCAATGGCTCCGCCCCCTCAAAGCTGAAAAGAAACCACCCAGTGTTCTGTCCTTGTGCTTCCCCTCGTGCTCGTCTCCGACCTGTATGACGTCAGCATAAGCTCCTATTCCTAAAGTACTCCTTCCATCCCAAATTACAAGTCATTCCAACTTCTTGAAGAGTCAAAACATCTCTAATTTGACCAAATTTATACAATAAAATAATAACATTTACGATACGAACGAAGTATCATTAGGTTCTTTATTAATTATATTTTCATAGTATAACTATTTGATGGTATAAATCTTTGTAATTCTCTCTATAATTTTGGTCAAACTTGGGATGCTTTGACTCTCCAAAAGGTTGGAATGACTTTTAATTTAGAATGGAGAGAGTATATAATTAGGTGTTAACACATACCTCCTCTGCTATTCTCTGAAGAGTTTCTAATATTTCGGAGAAGTCTGGTCTTTGAGCGGGGTCCTGCTGCCAACATTTCTGAAGAAGCTCAGAAAGCCTTGCATGATTATGTTTCGGAACTGTAGGCCGTAATCCCTGTGAACGAAACATGACACATTAGAAGGACTCAATGCTGCAATCCTATTTCCTTTCTCTTTACAGTGCAGAGGTGAGAAAGTTCTAGATCTGTGGCGAAGGTACCCAATATATTATCATTGGGATCCCATTGTCATTCACTCATTCTAAATATTCGCTAGTGTTCAAGCAAAACTCCACCGAAATATGTTCTTTGCATCATTTATGTACCAAACCATCTGCATGATTTCATGGAATAGACGTGGATTCCAAGACATGTGGTTATTCTATTACCGTAGAATGTGATTAAGGCTATTCCTTGTTCTTAAAAATGTGATTAAAAGGACAAAATGAGCATATTCCACTTAGAAACAAAATTTTGGACAAAGAAGACAGCAAGATTAAAACAAATGAAGCCGCTGATTTTTACCTTCTGCACCACACCAACAGCTGCTTGTAGTGGAGTCAGGTACTCATAAGGAATCTGCAGAAATAGATGAGAGACCAATTAATAACTCATTTAAAAAAAAGAATAAGCTAGCATAATGAATGAATTCAATAACAGAAGACTAATGTACATACCTTCCCTGTGAGTAGTTCCCACATCAAAATTCCAAAACTAAAAACATCAGCCTTGTGATCATAGGGTTTGTGCTCTATGACCTGCAAGTATGTAAGATTTTGTTAGGCGACATACCACTTGTGGAAAAATTAGTAAACTGGACAGCTCTATTTCTTGAGTCCACTGCAGTCCAAAGCTTGTGATCATTTGGAAGGTACCCTATACCACTACAGTGTACTGTAACAATTTTTTTGTCATGGCCTGGTCCAGAGCCACCTCCACTTGCCATAAGATAGCAGTACAAAGCTACCAGCATACAATATCATGAAAGTCCTCACAATTCTTCCTTCACCAATTACTTTACTGCATATTATCTTTATTTGGTTGAGGTTGTGGATGTATGCTCAGATGGCCAGACCACCCATGTTCAAGTTCTCTCGAGGTGAATTCAGATGCCTATTTCTTTTAAGAAAGCCACCTGTCCACCCATAAGATGGTCCAGTTTTTCATATATCATTTATATTTTCGGATAATTATTTGATGGGTGGCCATTTAGTATACTGCTAAAAGACCTCTTGCAAATCACTCTTTTGTAGAAAAATTTGTTCTTTTATGATGGTACAATCAATTAATAATAAGGAATTTCCACTTCTCTCATGCTACGAGGAAATCCATTGATTTCATTCACATCTTAAGCACGAGACATGGGATGAACTTAGAGCATAGGTGTTTCCTGGTCACATTTATTTAATATAAACATATAATCATTGGCAGTGGTAAATGATAAAGGTAGCAAAGCTAATAATAAAGAATTACCTCTGGGGCCATCCAACGGTAAGTACCAGTTTCTGCAGTCATAACTCCAGATTGAACTTTAACACGGGCAACACCAAAATCAGCAACTTTAACAGTCTGCAGAAAGAAGCTAATAAAAGTAAGCCGGGCAAATGTACCCAGTCCTAGATTTGGTACAGTAGAAACTCTTTCTGGTCATGAAGAGCCATTGAGGCAAAAGGAACTTGTCACAAACAATACATGTGTTTTGCATGTCTGAGTATATAGAAGGAAGCTAAAGTGTTGACTGAAATGAAATCCACATGAAACAGGAGCAACTCCACATTCTAGATGGCCTTATTAGATTGCTTACCCCATTTTCATCCATCAGAAGGTTTGCAGTTTTCAAATCGCGATGAATAATATTATTCTGGTGTAAATAGTTCATGCCTTTTGACACATCCATTGCAACTCCAACTAAAGCAGGAAGTTTGAAAACACCTTTATGTTTATGGAGGTAATCATACACACTTCCACCGGACATAAATTCTGGAAGAGAGGAAAATAAAATGGTTCACTCATTATCACGATTACCATCACAACAAGAAAATGGACAACTTGAAACGACCATTTTCTTCAACCATACCTGTGACTATATATAGATTTGGGGGTTTAGTGGAAGCACCAATAAACTGCACAACATTCTTGTGACGGACCTTCCTAAAATCCAGAAACATACTCAGCAAAGCAGTACATAAAAAAGCAGAGTACCAGGGAAGCACTCTATGGGGTGATTTTTTATCATAAAGGTGGTGCATTCATCCAGTTACATCCTGCATTTGAAGTTCAGATCTAGGCTCATTCTACAAGATATCAGTCAGATAAAAGGATTGTTAACATAAGATGTTGGCAGGTAAATGACAGTGAAGAGATCTCGACGTAAATGATGACTTGAAGTGACTGTAGGATAGTAATCATTGTAGAAGAAATAAGACTAAGTGACATAAGGTAAAATAACAAGAAGCCAAGTGCAACCTCAGAAACTTGAAGGTATATTTAATTAGCATGCCAGACTACCAATATCACAATAAGAACCCATCTTGTAATACAAGGTGAAACATAGTTGAGTGTATAGTAATCACCTCATAATATATACTTCCTGAGCAAATTCTCGCTGCATGTCTGCATTTATTCTCTCAGGTTTCAGCACCTTAATAGCAACATCTTGACTGCAATATGTACCCCGGTAACTGGAAACAGAAACATATCATTATGTGAAAAAAAATCTCAAAAGGTATTTTTTCCCATGATAACTAGCAACAAACACTCACAGATCACCATATGATCCTGATGCTACTTTATTCCCAAACTTGAGCAGTTTTACATCAATTTCCCATTCACTAGCACCATCTGTTGGTATCTCAACACGGTCAGCTGCTGAATTCTCAGCAATCTGCATGTTCTCAACTGGAGTAGACCATGAATGAGATGAAGACCATGCTTGTGTCTGTTGAATCCAAACCAAAGTAGAAAAATGAGGATACAGAAAACAAGTTGTTGCAGTTAAGGCTCAACTAGTCCAGAATGAATGAGTCTGTTTTACCTCCTCAATCCTGCCAATCTCCTTCTGCACCGCTTCTTCTAAATCCTCTGTTTCCTAAGTAAATTAACAGGTAAACAAATAGTAAGAGACTGCATAATAACAAAACAAAATGTGCAGATCACAACGACGCTCTTGCTCTGAAGTATCGACAGTTCATTGATTACATGATCAATATATGTTGCATGATCCATGATGCTAGTCACAGGTTCTCATGCACATACATGAAATTAGCAACCCAATTCCATCAAATAGGTAAACTTCACGATTACTAAAGAGTAAAGATTTTTTATCTGTCTTAGACCACATTAACTAAAAATGCTAAACCATATTATAAACTATTGTGCAGATATCTTATGCATTAATTTCACAAGCAGTATTCTGAGAACTCTTGCTCTCTGACTTTATCTTTGAAAGATATACACAAAGGATATATATATATTGAAAAGACACACAAGACTCATTAGGCATGGACAAATGATAACCAGAAAAGAATTAGTTAGTGAATACCTCATCATGCCAACCGACAACAACAAAGACATCAAGTGAGTAGCCATCATTTGTTGAAAAAGCATGTGCTTCTTGAATGTTTAGACCAAGCTCCCCAAGCAAAGATGTTAGCTGTCAGTATCAGAAAATTTTTCTATATCACTAAACAGATAGATAAGAAGACTAACTCTACTAAATATCAAATGTATTAACTCAAGTAGAGGTAGTGAGATATCAGTGAGAATGTATAGTGTGTACAGAAGGGAAAATATATGTACATGACTTTTGAAGATATAAACCATCCCTATGAAATCCAACTGTACACAGGTTTACCTCACTAAGAAGTTTTGGCTTGTCAATGGTTGAAAAGGTGATTTCATGCATGGGCCTGAAATGACAAACAAGAAAACTATTGTATCTGCAGAGGAACAAGTACTTAACAAAGGAAAATAACGTAACTGTAACTTTTCTTATACCATACAGCATCAACTCACAAGTTACAAAATTTTTAATATGAAACTATGGATGAACTAGGATAAAATAGAAGGAAAAGGTAACTGGCAGGAAACACTTCCTGTAAATAGATCACTCATTGTGTGCTCTCACAAAAGTGCAACCTACAGGTCGGGAGTTCGACTTCCCATTCTCACCTAAAAAAGTGCCACTCACTGTGCTATTTTCAGTGAAATACGTGGTCCACTAATGGTTGCAACACGATACGTGGCTGCAGGTGCGCCCTTGCTGTTAGTAGCACGTCCTGGACAGACGGGTTTCGTGGCCTTTTCTTGACACTAGGGAAGAGAATCTTCTACTTTTCCGTCAATGCCTCATGGAGGTTCTGCCCCCAGGGGTTGGTCGATTTTCGTGTACTCTTGCTGGTTACACTGGCTAGGGAGCAAATTTGCACCTAGCTGGCAGGGGTTTGAGTCCTTGTTTAATTTAGTTGAAAAAATGGTGGACGTCTAAGGTGCTCTAAAATAGAATATAATAATATAAAGGTACCTAGAGACTAGAGTTTAAAAGGAAAGAGTACCTGTACAGAGATCGACCATTATCAGAGGTGCTATCATGATCTTGATGAGACTTGCTAGCTTCAAGAGCAAGGGCCTCAAGATTTGTAGAAGAACCGAAGGCAGGAGGAGGATGTATGCTGGAAACAAGTCATGCATGTTAAACAAAGACCACATCAAACGAATCAGTAGTAGATATATATTTTTTCTTGTGCATAGCAGTAATGCAAAATAATCGTCATTTTGCCGATATAATCCAAAGCATTAGACAGATATGAAACCACAGGTACCTTTGCTGCCTATTCAATGGTCTTGAAGCAACTTCCTCCCCTGCAGTGTTCGAATCAGCATCAGTCTGATTCCCATCAAGAATTGGAGATACCTAATGAATCAAGACTCCAATAAGGATAATGACCAACAATAGTTGAAGGCCTTTATATATTAATTGCTAATTAGCAACTAGTTAAAAAAAAGAAAAGAAAAACTTTATGTACAAAATTAAGAGTTGAAATTCAGGAACAATAGCATACTACCGATTAAAACAAGGGCACTGACGCTTGTGGAAAGCTTAAACTCTAATTTGTAGGTATGGTTACTTGGTGAAAAACACAACATGCATAGACATTGAACTATTGGCATGATCAAATTTTCAGAGAAATGCATAAACACAAAATGTTTGTATTGATAGCTCGATACAATACCACGTGGTCAGCATTCAAGAGAACCCAAATTTGAGATAGTGAAGTAGAATGAAATCCTTACAAGCTTCAGCATAGAACATAATGAAAAAAAAAATCGAGACCTAAGAGGAAGTAGAGAGACATTACAAGCTACCCCTGCAATGGTAAGCGCCCGGCTTACCAAAGAGGAGGAGGACCAAAGAACACAAAAGAAAGAAGAAAACACAATAAGAAGCTGCGGTAACAACTAAGAAGAGGCGATCACAACTGCTGGAAACCTGCCAACGCCCAGACAAGGGCCAACTGGGCTACGCCCCCCCGAGCCAGCCGACAACGCGCTCGGCCATTGAGGCCGCGCAATATCGCGGCTAAGCCAGGAGCGTGTCAACCTCCGGGGCAAAGTCGTCCAGGAACGTAATGAAATTTCCCGTTAGCCCAGCCAGTACCCTGACTACTGAACCTAAACAGCAAGGCATGAATGCAACACAGTGACATTACTTTCATGCTTTTGGCAATTAAGAGCTCAGAAGGATCTGTTGGATTTTCCGATCAAAAGGAGCACGAATGCACAACAAAGCAATGAGCTCATCTCAGTGGAAGATTAGTCCATACAAAAGGTAATCAGGTGAAAAGTGCACTTAACTAGTTAAAGTAGACAAAGTCAAGCAGTCCAGCTTTCACACAGATGACATAAGTACAGTATGGAAAAGTTCAGACAACTGGAATTCTCCATTGCAGGAATGGGTGACAACCAAGTGAACCAACCAACTAAAATCAACAGTCGGTAAAACCATATTGCGAATAAATAAACGAGGAAAACATGTGTTTGACTTTGTCTACTTTAACTAGCTAAGTGCCGTTCAAAATTGCATTCGAAAATCATCACCTGCACGGCCCGCACCGCGAAAGCCGGGCGCTGAGCCGGATCCTTGGCCTGCTCCAGAAGCCGCTTGTGCGTGAGCACGTCCTCCGCCCTCTCCACGTTCACATCCATGGCGTAGCTGCAGAAACCAAAGCGAATCCGGGTCAGCCCAGACCAGACCGCCGCCCGCAGCGAAAACCACTGGTGGGGGCGAATTGCATTCGCGCCACGTCCCTGTCCGAGGAGGAAGCGCTGTCGCGCGAGCGAGCGAGCGAACAAGCACGCACCGGGCGGGGAGGCGATTGAAGTGGTTCCATAGCTCGTCGTCGAACCCGGGCGCCCGCGCGTCGGGCAGGCCGGCGTCGTGAAGGCGCCGGAGAACCTCCGTGTACACGTCGAGCTTGTGGCGCTGCTGCTGCTGCTGCTGCTTCCGCGCCTGCGCGGCCGCCGCGGCTGCCGATGACGAGGACGTCGCGGGCCCCGCCGCGCCGCCGCCAGACGCAGCGGCCGCGGCCGCGGCCGCGGCGTGGCTGCCGCAGCTCTCCGCGGCCTCCTCCACCGCCATTCGCCTAAGGCCCTCAGCGCCGCCCGCCCGCCCTCCGCTCTAGGTCTCGATCTCCCCCCAGCTCGCGGATTAGGAAAGCGGAGCGGGGCGAGGGAGATAAATAACCGTGGCCGATTTTTTAAGGAGGAGAAAGGAAACTGGAAAGTGAATGAAACGGCAGCGGGGGCGGAGGAGCCGCGGAGGAGAGAGGTTTCGTTTTGCGGTGACTGCCGGCAGCCGGACACTGGTTATATAGGCCCGCGTGGCCGCGTGCGGCCGCGCCAGCGCCACCCTCACCCCTTTCAGTTTACCTCGGCTGGTGAAAACTTGGCTGGCGCAGTGGCGCTGGCCCCGGGCGGCGGCGGTGTTCTGCGTCGGAAAGCCAGGTGACGATGTGGCTTAATAACGATGAAAGAAGCTAAATTGAACTAAACCAGAGCCAAATCTGGTAACATGGTCGTCTGTTGGAAATAATACCTTAAACAGGTGGAAAGTAGCAAGGTTTGACTAGAGTATCGTGCAACAATAGCATGGTAATGGTATGAATATGATCCTTCGTGTAACTCGCTAAATTTAACTGCTAGGGATTCGAACGGTCTAGCTAAGAGACTAACAAGTTTAGCTGAGTTTAGTTATTTTAAGCCAGCTAAAGTTTAGTTGACTCTATTAGGAGTATTCAAACACCACAACTAAAGTTTAGCTGAAAAAATTTTAAGTTGACTAAAGTTTAGCTTTAAAATTTTACTAGCTAAACTTTAATTGGGTGGATCCAAACAAGCCCGGTAGAATGACTTTAATTTGGTGAATCCAAACAAACCCTGTAGGATGAGGACGATGTTAATTTCTGTGGTAACTCGGGCGCGAGGAGGTTGGCAGTCGCTTGCCTAACATCTTGTGTCCACCGTCAGTAAGTAGCTCATTCAGATTAGTAACTCAACCAGTCAACCTAATGGAGTTTGCTCGCTCACATGTGAAGACGATGGTCTTTAAATAACTATGAGTATTATAAATAATAATCTACCTCAAAAGCAGAGTTAGACCAAGGACCGGAAAGAAACTAAACAAAAAAGGTAAGAGATTTAAATTTGTTTTGTTTTAGTTTATCGAAACATGGTACTATTGTAGCTTCCATACAGTAAGAGCAACTTCAATAGTCTCTTTATATCTTTTCATATTGATAGGAATAGAGATTTGAAAATCCTAGCCAACACTTTTTTAATTAGATTTCTCAATAATTTCATCATCTATTCCTAGATTCTCGTTAGCCAAAAATAGAGAGCGGAGTTATCTCTCCAAAATACTAAACAAGCTACATAGAAGTTGTTGTGGAGTGCATAGAGAGAAATAGAGAGTGATTTTTATTAGAATAGCTCTCCAAATGAGAATGTAAAAGAGTGGGTCTAAGAAAAACTATTGGAGATTCTCTAACGAAAGTTCATGTACTTGTGCGGCCTCAAATCAAAAGTAGATGCTCTGATTTCTTTTCTGTCGGTGATGCTCTAAGAGTCTAAGTCGACATATCTTGAACACCTAGAGGACACTAGAGCTGTAGATATTAAGGTTGACAAAGTCAACATAGATGTCCGTCATGAATGAACACTTGACTAGCGCTGAATAGATAATTAGCTATAAATATAAGCACATGTGCTGAGTTGGAAATATGGGCCCAAATTTCATCAATAGACATAATCAAGCAAAACAATAAAGTTCGCATAGATGAGGCGTGCCAGCTCGATTACATGCTTGTTTTTGTATAGCATAAGGTTAAGGTATGGTTTGGGCGGCATAACGCCATAACCTTAACCATTTGGTTAAGGCCACTAGCTGAGGTGAGCTGAGCTCTCGTTGCTGTGGGCAAAGGCAACTGAAAGTGCAAAACAGGTGGTCCGCGGAGCTCGGCGCGGACGCGTCCGCACGTGTGTGTGTGTGTGTGGCGCACAGTGCTCCCACTGCCGCAGCTGATCAAAAGCAGCAGTTGCAATGCTCCAGCCACGCCGGATCCTCAGCGCCTAGTCCCAGACACGCGGGGCCCAGGACGGGATCCAGCGACCAGGTGTGGTGTGGGCGCCCGACCGCGAGTCCGCGACGAGCCGACGGTGCGGGCGGGAGTAAAGAAAGCAAGGAATGACGCGGACCTGTTGGAACGGAACGTGGAATATGCCGGACGGGGCGGGATGCGGCAGTTGGTAGCCCGTAGCCGCATCCTCGTGAGTCGTGTCGTGTGGACCCTCCTTCCTGCGGGCGGATAAGAAGGCCCGGTCAGCACCAGCCACCAGGCCAGCGAGCACCCAGCCACCCACCAATTCAACTTATACTAGTTAATTATTAAAGCTAGCTAATGCTACGTTCAAAAAAGAGCTAGCTAATGCTAATTAGAGCGGTGGACCACTGTGAGGGTGCCGTGCTAATGCAGGCCATGTCATGTGAGTGAGGGCGCGGCTAATGACTCTTGCCCAGCAAGTAACGATGCCGCTCCATGTCGGTCCTGCCTCCACGGCTCCGCCTTGTCTTATCATGTGATCGACAAAACTGTAGTTTCAACAAACAACTACTTCCTCTCTCCCACTTTAAATTTAAATGATGTTTTAGATGGTGACCAAGTACAACATTTATTCTCTAAGCTAGATTCGTGTCCGTGCGTTGCTACGAGATAGTTAACATTTTATACTAAAAGTACACGGATCGCACGATAAGATAACAATACTGTAAAATTAAATACCAACGTTAAAGTGACATTTAATCTAAAAAGCAAAATTTATGAAATTAAATACCAAAGTTAAAGCGAGCGGTCAAGGTTTTGTTTCGCACGAAGGGAGCGGGGGCGGGCGATGATTTAAATGTCACTTTAACGTTGGTATTTAATTTTACAGTATTGTTATGTTATCGTGCGATCCATATGCTTTTAGTATAAAATATTAATTATCCCGTAGCAACCCACGGGCACGAACCTATGTAAAAATTAAATATCAACGTTAAAGTTACAGTTAAACCAAAAAGCAAAGTTTGTAAAATTAACAGTTACGGAGAGCGCGGCGTCACAGGCTTACAACTCTACTTTATAGACCTTTCCGTGATGCGCCTAAGATAATATTTTATATCGGCAGGAAGAAATCTCTGATATCCATTTCTTTCGTGCGCCAATAAATCCACGAATAAGTTATGTCGCATCTCCATACCATCATGTACACAGGCTCGAGTATATATGTCAATATTAGTGTCTGTCGCATGGGTAATATTGCGTCTCTTGAAAAATCTTCCACAAAAACTTAAAACAAAGTGTTATACTCATCGTATAAATATGTGTGGCTTTTGATCTATTCCATGCAGACATACTGTAGAATAAGATATCCACTTAAATGTCTGTGGCAAGATTCACGATCAGCGATATATAGAAATAGTTAAATCGTAGGTATTGCAAGCTATAGTGACTCTGTGTTAGTTACCCATCTATGTCCCATCTATGTCCTCTGCAATGTTTCCTTCCCGTCTGAATTTCCATTTGAAGACATCATCATTCCATCCAGAAATATGTACATTCACTGCATCCGTATACTACAAGGTAAATCCAAGAGTGTACCTGGCATATATCAACGCTGATGTGTCTTTACACCGGTCTTCAATAGGTCTAGGATCAATCATGATAAGCATCTTCTCCTTCTGATCGAAAACATAAAGCATATACTTTCGAACGTACAGCCCTGGCAAAAGAAACTGCAAACATGGTAGCGTTTAGAATAGTATATAGAAAACAAGTAATAAAAGCATGAGCAAGCGACTTACATATCTGCATTGTGCTAAGCTGTATTCCATATCCTCACATACACCAATCGCAGCAGCCATTTCTTTTTAGTGTATTTTTACGGTATTCTGGCATTTTTGTTAAAGCACATATTTTCTGGAAGAGAAAGATATCGAGAGTCAGGATTAATATAACTTGGCCTACTTTATACAATTAGGAGAACAACAAATAAGATAATATAATATAGCACGATAAGAATTTTAAAAATGTGCTTACACAGAATCTCAGGTCCATGTGATGCTTCGTAATACTATTGTATTTTTTCATTGTATTGTACTCTCGAGCTGCCTGAAAACGGACACCTAAGTTGAAACGGTTCTCAGAGATGTTTCGATTGTTCATTAACAACTCTTGTAGGTCCTTGACACTTAGGACAATAATGGAGGGATGAAAACCTTTAACCCAAGGCTTCCTGCAAAGCATTAGACACATATGATGGTTTTCGTCATATAAGATAGCACACTATTATTAGTAAATAAAGTAATTAAAATAAGCATGTAGCTTACTTCAACGTTGCTTCATCCTGAATTGCCATGACGTAATCACATAGTAACTCAGTCATCTCTTCCTTATTCATTGGCATGCCTTTCATAGCCTCAAATGCCCAAAACTCATCAGGGTCTTAGTTGGTATGGACTTGTGGGAATTTATTCTGAGTTTATATGTGTTGAGGGGTGCCCGTTTGAACCACTAAGCATTGGCCTTCTCATAATGTTTTCTCTTTTTCGTAGACACTTGATCAGCCATCTTTGAATTCTCTATTATGGCACAGTCGCTTGGGCTTCCAATATTTTCATCCCTATCAAGATATGGAGCACCCTTTTGTTTGTTTAACTCTGACGCTAGCAAGATCACCGTAAACTGCAATCTAAATTCTTTTATATCATCCTGCACGATAGTATGAACCTAATTAATTATTAATTAAAAACCCACAGCTAGTGCACACTCATAACTTGTGGTAAGACACATAGTTTACCTAATTGAACTCGTCTGACAAATCGTTCTCAGTCCAATACTCCATAAAATTTATTAAGAATAAACCACATGAAAAACTACATACAACATTAATAGAGGTTAAGGCTCACATTAGATCAAAAAGAAAAAGACACATAAAATTCAACTTATATGACATGCCATTATTTCTGACATACCCATCTGTTTGTAATAATTTTGCCAGAAAAATCTCCCTAACCGGCCAAGTATCAACCTCAACATCTAGTCATTTGTGCTCTTTCATGCCTGTCTCCTCCAATATGAAATCTATCTATTTCGTAATCCACCTCGCTATTTGTTCATAGAAGAACGAATCAATCAGTATTTCTAAAATATAAAATGTATACAAATAGCTGTGTTAGGAAAATACCATAATTTTATTGAGGTCAACACGTCCAAACATCTCGCCCAAAGAGTCTAGCACCTGAACCTCACGTTTGTCGGTGTTTATAACAACAAGGTACCAATGTGTATTTGTAACATTTATTGGAATGAACACCTATCAAATCAAACAATAAACATTTTGCCCCACATAAAAAATTGATAATGAAAGATCAATAGATCATTTAAAAAAATTGCTACCATGTCATTCTTCAAGTAACCTAGCACCCTTTGAACTAAACCAGGACGCTGTGAAGTGCCACGGTTAGGGTAATTGGCTTCAATGGTCTCATCCTTTTCTTTATTCCGCTTCATAATTGCAACTAAGCACGCAGTTTCAAGATAGACTGTACCTCTTGGCCTCTTTTTCAAACCCTCCTGGGCCTTCAACATTTTAATATAAGCATCTATGACATGCATATATTTCGCCATTAGAGAGAAAGAGCATTGAAGTTGGCAATGTTTGATTGAGTATTATGACTTGCATCTGTTACCTCGTCAGACAAGTATTCATATGGCTAAAAAAGATATTCCACGTGATTTCTCAACACCAGAACATCATCTATGAGCTCAAGCTCCTCATTCTTAGGTGAAGATGGAATTTTTTTGACAGATTCAATTATGACTCTATCAGTATTGGTACAAACATAATCTGAAAAAGATGATTAAATTAAAGTATACAACAATAGTTAGCAGTTTTTCTAGGTTAATCCATCAAAGAGAAAATATCAATACCTTCTGGGCAACCGGTGAAGACATAGATTTTTTGGGTTTATTTTGTACGATTATGATTTCCGAAAGTCATTTTTCTCCCGTCGGATCTACCCCAGAAGTTGATAGGGTCTTTTCATCATGGGCCGTGCTAAAGCCCTGGTCAACTGGTAGAGCTTCGTGGGTAACTTTTATACTCATACTTTCTTGCAACCATCTAGAATCATCCATAGGCTCATTGGAATTTTCCGTTTGTACAATATCTTCTAAGGGGCCTCCATTTTCCTTTGAAACCTTTGCATCTAAACTATCCATCGAGACCTTCTCTGCTCTTCTGAACCTTGCAATCTCTGTTCCTGTGTTGTTTATATGAAATTTGAAGATACCCAGACTTGTAATTAGTAATAACCAGTCATACGATTAAATGATTTGAATATGAAAATCAACTATCAATATGAAAATCAACTATCAAACCAATCCTGGTTACAATTGCCGGACCATAAACAGTAGACAGGAGTGAAAACAATATGATGACACAATGCCACAAACTAAATAGATTAAAATGATACTATATAACACCTGAATCAACAACCTCAATCTGATGACACAATGCCATGGGTGACCATATGAAATACTACCTGATCTAACTATCAAAGCATTAAATTGTATTTGCATACACATAGTATTAAATACACTGAGTGTTAAATAATTATAATACAATGCCATGGGCGGCATTAGTTGCAAGAAAATAATTATAATAAGTACTTCTAAGTATTAAATACACATGGTGTTTGTTTTCTACAAGTAATACAACTCTGCAGTGAAGGATAAACTGAGGGATCTCGACTGCATTTGCATACAATGAATCAAGATAAAACAGATAAAAAAGCATCACCCCCGGATGTGGTAAACCAGCACAAATAAATCATAAGAGAAACTAAGATTTTGCATACCTTCTTGTGTACAACAGCTGATGGATGTTTGCTTTTTTTTAAAATGCTTGACTTTCAGAGTCAGTTGCTCAACTGTAAACAAAATATGGCCATATCAGTTCTACATCTTATTATGGCTATTAATCAAAGAGGCAAAACAAACTCAGTAAATTCAGTGAGCGCATGATAAAAATAATTACTTGACATCACCTTATGGCGCGGGGAAGGGATGAGAGATGGATGGATAGATAATGTTAAACACAATAAAAAATAGGCACTGGGCATTTACTGAGCTATAATTCATTAGCATAGTTTTTTCAAACTTGAAAGCCCCTTAAATCCAGTAAGCACCACTTGTAGTTATATGTACCTATGGAGATTAAGCACTAACTATGTGATAAAAAAAGTGTAGCAACAAGATAATTAGCCAAAGTTGACAGGACACTCAAGTCGTATTGATAGGATTACGGATCCTACCGCGTAGATCACGGAGTCTGTAGGGGTGAGAGGGAGGTGGAGCAGGCTGGGAACCTCGCTGCCGGCGGCTGGACGCCGTGGTGGAGGATGGGCGGCTGCTGCTGTAGCCCTAACCTTCACGTGGCTACAGTAGCGGCGGCACTCTTCACGCGTGAACAGTAGAGGCGCTAGGGTTTCTCCCGGCTAGGGTTTCTCCCGGCTCCCTGAGGAAGCCGGAAACAATAATATGTTTCTGCTTAATCTCACAAATAGAGTCTTACAAATATTTATATGTCTCTCTAATAGCGATAATTATAAAATAACCCTCTAGCAATACTATAATTGCGACAATTATATGGGCCATAGCCCTCTGATGGCCGGCTTCCCTCCTAGCCCTTAGCTGGGCTGCGACGGCTGTAGGGGATGCCGGTCATAACACGTATACATGTATGTACCAAACTGTCAATACATAAAGAACCTGAAATATCTGTTACTTATATGCTATTTTTTCCATCTTGCCTTAGCATCCAACCTCAAAGAAAAACCCACCGGAGATCAAATGGTGATACACAATCTCAATCATTTATAGCCCATAGAAATCCTTCATCACATCTCACCAACCTAAACCTTCATCTCATCACTGCCATGGCATAGGTCAGTACCATTAGTTCATAGAGTTTAGCAATAAGAAAAATGGTCCAGGAAATCAGTGATTATACTAATAAAATTGTGAAATTGCATAGCCAATTAGTATGGGAATCAAATTAACATTAGTCAACAAGATAGGAAAATCAGTGACATACTAATAAAACTGTGAAGTTGTATAGAGAATCAGTATGGGAATCAAATTAACATTAGTCAACAAGGACTATCTTTCATAGATTCATGAATATAAGCTAATTTTTTCATGATACACTTTGGGATGCAAACAACTATACATGAATTCCATTTTGTCTGTGAAATTCAGAGCAACAAGGGCAATGCAATATACTGTCTGCCAATGAATAGTAATGAACCAACAACTAATAGAATAGACCCTCTCATCCAGCACTTACAGAAATAGCTTGCAAAAAAATACGCACCTGCACAAGCTTGACAGAGACCTGTATTTCTGAAGAGTGATCTGCATAGGTATCAAACCATTATCTCAGTGTTAATCTTTCGGTCATTCTATACTCCGAAAAGCAGAAAACTATATAGATTACTTAAGTTGATATATTTCGATCACACATAGAGCATCTTCTCTTTTGGTCTTACCTTATGAAACAGAAAAATGTTCTACCACTCAAGATGATCCAGAGTAGAAAAAAGTGAAGTCTATCTTTTGTTATTTGAAGAAATTTGTAATTGTAAGTAGAAGTGAAATTCTGCAAGCAGATATGATGATCACTAAACAACAAAATTATAATCCTGAAAATATTCAGGGAATGACCATTATTTCATATACCTGACTACTTGGCTGTGGGCAGACCATGCTTTAGTTTCTGCTTCTTATGATCGTTGCATGCCAACATTCGACAATTGGTGCATGGATTCAGACGGTGTATCCCCCAAACAAGGTTGGTCCCTGAGATAACAAAAAAAGATATCCAAATGCCTAATAATGGCCTATAGTTGCAGTAGTGGCACAAGCAAGTACTATGTAGTAACTCATTATCTTGGAACTTGAGTACTCACTGATTTGCAGGCTAAAAAAATTGACAACAACCATGTTAGCATTTTGTGCCCTTTTCATTTTTTTCCTACTAAAGACCTCCATTTACTATTATAGATATAGTATCATATTTAAAGAAATCTGCAATCCAGTATGGCACCAAAAAGGTTCTTTCTTCTTATTTGCAATGACTGAACTTACTGGTTTTACAATTTGAATGCTTGTCTTTACTTACCATCTTCTGCATATTTACCTTCTTCACAGCATCTACTGATTATATGTGATTATTATTTTCCTAAGGTGCTCTCTGAGGTGAACTATGTGCCTGCAACTGCATACACGTGGTCCTAAATCTATACTGAATTGAGATCCTTTTCCTCCTTTATATTTCGTTTTGTTTGTGTCTCTGCATACCAATTGCCAGACAGTGAGCAGTGAATGGAGTCATTGATTAAACAGATAGATTGTGTTAAAGAAAAAGAAGCACAACAAAATAAAAAAATGAGGACTGCTCAAAATCAATAAATCCATGTATTTAGATGGCATAATTCCATGTATTTATAAGTGATCAGTAAGACAACATACATATTTAGTCAACAGGAAAATAACTACTGCAAAGAGCATGCCACATATTATGTTGTACGGACCAGTATGCACACAATGCACGCAGAACATATGGTACAAAAGGCCATATCATTTCACCATTACCTAAAGATTTCACCATCACCAAGAATAGATCAATCTGTGTTCTTTTGTATTGTTTCACTTTCACCTTGAACATTCAGCAGGTTGTTTCAGATTTGCACCACATAAAGAGCTAGAATTGTAAAGTCAACTTGATACTGCTGCATTTCAGAAGTGGCGAGAAAATAAAAGACACTGTACCTTTGGATGGCCAGATCAACGAGCTCCTTGATGGTGGCGTCGAGCGCGTCATGTTGGGCCTTGGGCGCGGGCACCTAGTGTCCAGCACTGCTACGCCGATCGAATCTGGAGGTGGCGGCGACGGCGTGACAGCGAGGGAGAGGCGGCAGCGGTGCGGGCGAGCGCGCGGAGCGAGGACGATAGCGTGGGCGCGAACCTCGGTGGTCCTTCTCCTTGTCGGCGATCCATCGCCGTGGATTGGGGGCTCGGGGCGGGGCAAGGACAACAGAGCGGGCGCGCACGGCGAGGTCGAGCTCTCCGTGGTCGGGCCTTCTCCTTCTTGGCACGGAGGCAAGTGCGACGGTGAGAGCGACGGTGGGCGAGGTCGAGCTCTACTTTTCGGCGATTCGTCGTCGGGCCTTCTCCTTCTCGGCACAGCGGTGGCGTGGGCGAGCGACGGCGAGGGCTGCTTCCTGTGTACTTGATTGGAGCGATGGGAAAGGATGCCGCGGATCTTTTATACGTGAGTGGAGGTGATTTCCTTTGTACATGATTGGATCGGTGGACAAGATCTGCGTGATTTCAGGAGGAGATCGTGAGCGCCGGGGAAGAGAGCAGGGAGGAAATCACGCGCGTGCTGGGAAAGCGAGCGAGTATCGCACGTCGGTCAACGATTCCCATCGCTAATTTTTAGTGGTAGAGATCAAGACATCGGTTGTGGCCAGATACATAGAACGTTGAGTGAATCTGGACATGCAAATGAAGTGCTAGAACATCATTTAAAGTGGGACAGAGAGAGTAGATTTGTAATCTCC